AAGATTTGATCAAACGTATAACTATAACTGAAAATTCTGTGGAAATTTGAACAAGCGTAATGAAAGAGCGAACAAAGAGATTGGTATGATAAAAGAAACAAATGGAGAATGATCAAAGAAAGTAACGACATTGTAGCTGTTTGAGAAAATTTCACTGTTAAAAGAAAGACGATTCTTAATCTTTAGGAAAAAAAGAAAAGAAAATTGAAAGAAAAAGAAAAGAAAATTGAAAGAAAAATAAAAAAGAATAAAATACATGACAATTGAAATCGAAAAGGGATAGTTCTGTAGACCGAGCAACTCGTTGCCCTTCGCACTTGGATCGTTACGAGATAGAACACGCATGATACTTCTGTCCCGCATATTGCATGATGAAAAGCCACGATTGTCCTCATCATAATGGATATATAAATATAAATATATATATATATATATATATATATATATATATATGTAATAGCCTATCGGTTGAAATTATATAAACATTCATGAAAAATTTCTCTAAAGTCTCTCGTATACCAAGCTAAAGTGAGAAAAGAAATAGAATATATAGAAATAGTATATTAAAGAGATAAATAATAAAGAATAGATTGTTAGTACTGGATGATCAGAAAAAAAAGGTGAATGCTCTCGAGTAATACTATAAAATTCGTATCTTTGTTTTTCAAATTCATTGACATAATGAAGAAAAAAAAAAAATATGTACTTGGATTGAACATCGAACATGCTTGTGATGTGTGTGAACATTCAAAGATAATTTAATTGTAAGTACCAAAAATTTCTCTAAATGTTCATAGAAATTCAGCGACGATGACACGTCCGATTTTCTCTCGCTAATTCCATTTAACTAATCAGCTCGAGAAATGAATAACCCGAAGAATTCGACCTGTTAGCGATCTCTTAACATCGACTTGATACTTAAACGTAGTCCGTTCTCATGCCACGAAGATTAAAGTGAATAACGACACTGGAATTACGAATGCTAAAAAAAAAAAAAAAAAAAAAAAAAAAAAAAAAAAAAAAAAAAAAAAAAAAAAAAAAAAAATTGAAGATATACAATAAACGCAGACATATTTTATCTTTAATCTCTTATCACGCGTGATTTTTTTTTTGACGATTAATATAGATATTTTTAAACTACACGAAAGGGTTCGCAAGAAGATTTTTTCTATTCTTTTTTTTTCCTCTTTTTCTGGCATATACACTTTTATATTTTTGATACTTTGCCATGAGTTAATCTTTCAAATTAAATACTTACAATTAGATATATATGTATTTACGTGTGCTTATGTCTTTTTACGTTTTATTACATTTCATCAGGCACAGAATTTATAGTTACATTATATCCGAAGTTTTAAATGATTTTTTTTATAAGTATAAGTAATATTATATAATTTCTTTATTATATATATATATGTATATAAATATATATATATATTTATTTATATATATATATATAAATATATATATATATTTGTTTTTAGCTAGAGAAAGTTAAAACGCAATACAATGAAATAATAGATAAAACGGAGAATGGTAACGCAAACATAAAAAATAGTGATTGTACCATAACATTGAATTAAAATTTAGTGGAACAGAAAGATCGTGTCATTAAAAGATTAATTTATTTTAATCGCTCCAATTCTTATTAAGAACTTGAACGAATTCGAATTGAAATTAAAATCTGTCTTGGAACGTATCTCCTTGACCGTAAACTTCACGGGAAATATTAAACATGAGTAAATATTTATCAATAAAAGAAAGGTCCATTTTTTATTGATATTGACTACTGATCATATCGCATTATTAAACAAAAAAAAAAGAAAGAAAACAAATTAAAAAAAAAATATATATATATATATATATATATATATATATATATATATATAAAGATTATTTTTATCAACGAGTCAGTAACACCGATTTAATAATGTCGATTTGTCACACTTGCGCGTACGAACGAGTAATTTTTGAAATTTATGCAAATTTCGATTAGTCAATTCATCAAACAAACCATACAAATATTAAGAGAATATCAATATTTGTAAAAGAATTCATTTATAATTCTTTATCCTGAAACAAGAATGTAATACAGTGTGATATTGAATATGATTCCGCATCTGTAAAAAGTAATTTATACATAAAAGAGAAAAGAAGAAAAAGAAAGAAAAAATATTAAGAATCATTTTCAATGATTTTTTTTTTGTTAATGATTATCAATATGTTCACTCATTATATTTTCCTATTCCTTGAATGATAATAATTACATATTATCCTTGCATTATTTTCTCTATAAAAAATGTAGTTCATTCAGAAACGCATATTTCCAAAGTCAATAAAAAGTAATATTTATAGAAGCCTGTAATATCAAGAATTTTCGAATATTTTTATCATTGATTTACGTAAACTAGTTGTAAGACGATCGAGAGCTATCAAACAAGTGTAATAAAGAGAAATGATTATCACTATACTAACAAGATCGATAGAATATGGAAGTTATATATCTCACTAAAAAAAAAAAAGAGAGAGAGAATTAAAATAAAAACTAAAATTATCAATAATACATATTATCGTTTATCATTACTTATTAATAATAATAACTAATTACTGAAGGTAGATATTTTTCATTTAACAAGTTTATGATCTTTCACCAAACATACTTGTAATGAATCATTAATAAGTCAAATCGAACTACTTTCTATACTTCATCAGAAACAATATTTACTCAATATAAATCATTGATAATTCATAAGATTATGTCATAACATCTAAAAGGCGCAACAGTGAGCGTCATCCACGAAATAAAAGCACGAGGCTACCAAATATCGTCTATATATTCCTCTCGCACGTACATAAAAGCCAATCGGGCAACGAATGGATCGATGTAGCCACCGGTTTCTCTCCCTTATCCCGAGAATGTATCGGTGCTCCACATCGTAAGTTCTTTCTTTCCCTCTCTCGTTACTAACGCCTCGTATTTATTTATGTTTCAAGTAAAATCACGTGAAACGACGAGCTAAGAAGAATGAACTTAGGCAAGATCTTTTTTCGTTAAAATGTTTTTTATAACAGGAATACGATTGGATTACTTATAAACGATCTTTTTATGATATAATCCTGATATACACTTTTTAACAAAATGATATATAAAAAAGAAAGGGGGAGAGAGGGAGAGAGAGAGAGAGAGAGAGAGAGAGAAAGAGAGAGAGAGAGAGAGAGAGAGAGAGAAAGAGAGAGAGAAAGAGAGAAAGAGAAAATAACAATTATTTGTTCATACATATATGTAGATGTATATATGCTTTTCTAGCGTGACTCGTTATAATAAATACAAAGCTAAGTACAAATTACATACATGTTTATATCGCACGTAGAAATTAGAAAAGTATGCATCTCTTACGTCGTATATATACATACATAGGATAGATATTATGTAAGGTCGGAAAGCATTTGCGCGTTAACTATATCGATCCATCCGCATACCATTGGAATTGGACCAAATCGCGGACAATATCGATTTTCGAACCGGACGTAGCTCTTTATACGCACGATGTACAATAGGTCGGCTTGATTTAACGCGTCATCTTCCTACTTATATTTGACATATATATATATATATATATATATATATATATATATATATATATACATACATCTATCTATATGTATATTGACATCGAAATAAAAAGAGATTGTAATCTCCGTATGTTCTATCGATCATCCGATGATCTATAGGCTTAAATAACGGCAAGAATGTATATCTTCGATCGTTTTCTTATTTCTGTATCAATTTTAAACAATATATCGATTATCATTTTTCGATAATTGAAAACAAGCATAGATCCACTGTTGCATATACGACTCACTCAATGTTTGAAATTTCGCGCGTGAATTTCGGATACAAACGAGATGAACGATATTTCACGAAATTATCCGATATAACAAGTGTCGTTATAATAAGAACATTCTTGCAATGATGGAAAAGAAAATAGAGATTAATTTGTACTATATAGTGGTTACCGAATGGATGATATTTCAAAATGAGAAATAACTATCTGCGAAGAGAAGCCGGTTACACAATTAGTAATGTGCATATCTCGAGAAAGTAGGACAGCGCGCAAAGATAACGCGGGCAACTGGATAGTCTTGAATCGTTTCTACCGTAATCATTACGTAAACGTTCCAGTAATTAGAGATCCATAGTAGTTGCGATAGAACGCAATTAAAAAAATTCTACGGTAGCCGTACAAGTTCAACGTTATGTTGGGATCGTAATTAATTGCAAATCGGATCCTTCTTTGTGAAATTACGTTTCGTGGAATCGTATTGTCTTGATTTCTTTTTTCTTTTTTTTTTTTTTCTTAAGTTTTTACTAATGATGAGATAAAACCATAAGAAACGAATTTAACTTTTAACTATCGTAGAGGTTCGTAAAAAAATGATCAGAGAAAAAACGTAAAAAGATAAAAAATAGATCAATGTAAACAGCACTCCAAGAGAGACGAATTAGTAGAAGAGGCATATGTATGTTGAAATGAGTAATTCGCTTACGAGATGGCCCATGGGCGGGATATACAGCACACGTTTTGCAAACTGTACACGTGCGAGTCTGTCTTCGGTCCTTCGACCTTTCTCTTTCTTTCTTCTTTCCTTCCTTTCTTCCTTCCTTCCTCTCTCTTTTTCTCTCTCCCTCTCTCTTTTTCTCTCTCCCCCTCTCATTCTTTCGCTCTCTCTCTCTCGCTCTCTTTTGCTCTCTCTCTCTCTCGCTCTTTCGCTCTCTCTCGATGTCTTTGCCCCTCTTTAACCTATCACCACCCACAGCGCAAAAGTCGCGAGTTAAACGAGACGCATATATATATATATATATATATATATATATATATATATATATATATATAGAGAGAGAGAGAGAGAGAGAGAGAGAGAGGAAAAATTTTGTCTTATCTCATATCCTATCGTAGGCGTAACTTAAAAGAAAAGAAAATGAAATAAAAGATTCATACCTGCGGAATGTTGGCATAAATTTGACGATTGAGCGAGTCCCGTTCCTTCTCAAGTTCCCTCACCCTGGTCTCAGCCTCCTGTACCCGTTCCTGACACTCACGCAACGAATCCATTAGCTTGTCCCTTTCGTCCAACATCGAAACCATTAATTGTTCGAAGTTCGCATCATCGCCAGAGAATTGCGAACTTCTTTGGCTGATACTGTCCTCCGCGATCGTTGGCATCACGTCACACATCGCACTCCACATTTTGATGTCGCTATTTTATTTTCACTTCTTTCCCACCTCCACACCTCCTCTTCTTTCTTCTCACCCTTTTTTCTCTTTTTTTTCGCTAACACGCCCGTAAATTCTGATCACTTCAGCGCGCAAAAGGACAAATAACGATGTTGATGACGATAATGATGACGATGACGATGACAATGATAACGGCGACGACAACAACAATGATGACGACGGCGGCGGCAACAGCAATGATCGGTCAGTGGAGTGTAAGTAATGAACGAAACACACACACACACACGCTACACTACACTACACTTTATAAAGAAGCACACGTGCGCGAGAGCGAGAGATAGCAAAACAAGAGAGATAGAGATATATACATAGATAAATAGAGAGAGAGAGAGAGAGAGAGAGCGAGAGAGAGAGAGAGAGAGAGAGCGAGAGAGAGAGAGAGAGAGAATAGTGATGTAGAGAAACGAAGGGATATATATTGCTGCTTTTTTCTCACTTTTTCTTCCTCTCTTTCTCACTCACATACGCACACACGCACACTACTCCACTCTACCGTACGTCGTCTTCTACTTCTTCTTCTTCTTCTTCTACTTCTTCTTTTTTTCTTCTTCTTCTCCTTCTTCTTCTTCTTCCTCCTTCTCCTTCTTCTTCTTCTTCCTCCTTCTCTTCTCACTTAATCATTTTCCTTGGTCTTCGCTTCCTTCGTCCGCGAGTTTTCGTTGGATCGATCAAATTGAACGACATTCAAAAAAGAAGAAAAAAAAAATAAAAGGAAAAGATGTAAAATATGAAAAAAAGAGGAGGACGTAGTCCTCTCTCGCGGAACTAGCGACGGTAACTGGTAGGCGGAGCGCGAAGAGGCACGCACGGAAGTCGCGTATCGCCGCCCCTCTGACGTCGTACTCGTGAAGCTTAACGCTATCGTAGAGTTTGTCGACGCTCGGACGTTCGTTTCACAAAAAGCAGCGACCGGTTGGATAATCTGCGTTGAAACGATCCTCTACCGATGATATTCGTATCGTAAACGAAAGTATTGGCGGCACCTTATTCCCCGTAGCAATGATGATGATGATGATGATGATGATGATGATGATGATAACGACAACGACGATGACGACGGCGATGACAACAACGAACGAACACGAAAAGTCGTGCTCATGTCCAATATATAGAAGGGCCACTGAATACTTTTCTTTCTTTTTTCCTTTCACCTTTGTTCGTTGTACATACGACTTCTTTTTTCTTTCACTAATTCCTTTTTTTCTCACAATCATAAAAATGAGAAACTATAACAGAATTGGACCACTCGAAATCGAGATACGTTATGGTTCGTTCTCTCTTCGTTCGAATCGATCGCACAAAAGTAAACGCGACGAATAAGAACGGTTGAGTACACTTTTACACTGTGAAAAACCTTACAGAACACCGGCCACCGTCATGTTTCCCCTCCATCATCTGTGTAATTCTTCACTCCTCCCACTTTTTATTCACTAAATCGTTGCGCTATACTACTATTTTACTCCTGTGCCGTTCGACAGTACCAAGTTCGATATCTCTATCTCTCTCACTTTCCTTCCCTCTCAGTCTCTGTTGACGTCCAATCAACGAGGACCTTAGCACAGAACAGAAAGCACGGCGATAGTAATAATCAAAATTTAAGGGAACTCAAGCAATTATCTTGCCCTTTTTCCCGGTTCGTAGTTTCGGTTTCATTCAGGCAAGTTTTCTTGCGTACATATTTCGCCAAAAATGAAAACCGATTGATGCAAAAGAAAGAGAGAGAGAGAGAGAGGAATGAGAGAGAGAGAGAGAGAGAGAGAGAGAAAGAGAGAGAGAGAGAGAGAGAGAGAGAGAGAGAGAGAGAGAGAGAAAGTGAGACAGAAAAAGGATTCGTTTTTTCTGTCTTCTAGAAACTTCAATATTCGCGATATGCTTGCCGTTCGTTTGTTCGATAAAGACAAAAAACGAAGAAGAAAGAAACCGAGAGTGATAGAGAAAAGAAAAATTTGCGAACACTCTCGTTCCTCTTCTAATCTTCTTTTGGTAGAGCACGAGATGTACGTTGAGTTGCTCTCTCTCTTTCTTTCTGTCGGTCAGTCTTTCGTAGTTTTACGTATTGTTTATTTTATTCACCGTCCAAAAGATACTCGAAGGAATGTAAGTCGTGATCGCGACTCAGAACACTGGGAGTCGCGCGAGTCTACGTGTGAATCTCGGCATCTCGATGACAACAGCATTATCGCGGGGAAGGCCGAACACTGACACACCTACGCCGCTCGATTCCAATTATTCTTCCCCTCCCGCGCTCTCCGTCTTTCTTTCTCTCTCTCTTGCTTACTCATTCTTTCTCTCTCTTTCTATATGTTTGTCTCTCTCTTTCTCTCTTCCCCCTCTCTCTCTTTCTTTAAGCCAATTTCGGTTTTACAATTCCCCACCCTTAAGCCTACCGTTTCGTTCGTGGTCCTTATTCGATGTGGTGTGCCCCAGAGACAGTGGCCATCTTGTATCTGACGTCATCCAACGACACCGATACGGTTCTCGTCACTGGCCCGATCAAGCAATAGGAACGAGCGCCCTCGCAATGGCTGATTTTCATTCGATATATTACGACCTTTCACTATTCTTATTAAATCAAACCTCTCTAAATCCAATGTAAAAGCTTAGAAAGATATATAAATAATTCATTCAATATTACTATAATCAAGCTCAATGGTATTTTCTATTCATCAAATTATATATTTAAAAAAACATCTACCTTATACGATACATAGGTTTTTGATTTAACCAATTCTAGTCATTCCATTACTAACCAATCCTATTGAAATAATTTGCAAACTCGAAGCTGATTCGCTTATATTAAATCACGCATTTGTATCGTAACCAATTGTAATTATCTGTTGCGTCCTACGATTGATTATATTTATTTGACTCATATTATGAATTGAGAAAAATTATGAAAGCTAGTCTACTATGTATAATTTATAATACAAGTTTAAAATTCGATTACTTTTATTCAATCGTTTTCACTACATCTTCATGTTATTTTTTTATCATGTTATATTTCAGTTAACGATGTGGTATATTTTTTAATATCGTAAAGAAACTTTTTTTATGAAAAATACTCTTTTCTTTTTTAAGAGAGTCTTTAATATAGCAATGTAATTTTTATTATTTTTCCTTTTAAATATATTTTGTGTTTATTATAAATCATTATATCAAGATATTCGAAAAGAAAAATTTATTGAAAAAGAATATTTAAAAGAAAAAAAATTAATAATAAATAAAACAAGATGTACGTAAGAGTACGTCACGTCGATAGATCAATTGGGCGCCACTTTCGGAAGAGAGAATCGCGCTACACCCGTGATGCTATGTGATCAATATCAGTGTTGCGTCTCAGCCTTTGGACCAACGTAAGGCAGACGGATCTGAAAATAGAGAAAAGAAAAGCGATATGAAAGCCGTAACGCATACTTGTACGTCAGGAAGCGGTAAGTGTGAGCATATTACCAAGTAAACGTTATTGAATAAATATGTTGCTATTTTTTGTTTTTCCTTAATAAAATACATATTACAATTTCTTTAAACATTTAATATTGTTTTACTGTACATACATATATTTTTTCTTTGTGATATATTATATGTCTTTGCACTATATATGCATTTCACATTTTTAGTAAATTATAATTTTTCTTAAGAATTAATTATATGTGTACGATATATGTATGTGATTTTAAATAGAATATTATGAAAACAATTGCAAATCAAATATATTGTAGAATTTAGAAATAATTTCTTTTATGGATTATCATCATGAGGAAGTTAGAAAATTTATTTATAATCGTTGTATTAAAATTTCTTCTAATAACAAGTGTTTCATTTTGTTTACTATTAGCGTACTTTCCCGATTTGTATCATAGTAGATAAAACTACTCACATTCTTGAAAAATATTTATTTTCTTATATTTTGTTTTCTTTTTCTTTTTAATTTTTTATATTAAACAATCGAAAAGTTCAAATCTTTTATATAATCGCACGTGTTTGTTGTCGATTTTGTATTCCATACTCATTACAGTTTTAGATTTTCCGGAAGGTGAATCGATCGAAGACATCGCTGAGTCCGTAGACGAATTGCGAGAAAAATTAGCAAATATGAAGAGATTGATGGAAGAACGTAAGGGAACGACTCTGGGCGAGATCAGTGCACGTAAAAGGAAAGAAGCTTCGGACATAATAGATGGAAATTTTCTTTCTTGGATTTTTGGCTCTGCTCTCGTTGTTATATTAAGCGTTAGCTTTTACGCTTTTTATAATCTTTATCACGCGGTACTCAAGAAATTCCCTTCGCATCATACAGAGTTGTAAGAAAAGAAAAAAGAAAAAAAAGAAAAAAGAAAATAGAAAAAAACAAGAAAGTAAGAAAAAGGAGTGAAAAATGCGTCAAATGTCCTTTCAAATGGTAATTTTCTTCTGATTTTTTATTTCTCTTTGATTGTATTAATTACAACGATGTTACAATCGTGACTAACGATATGAGATTTCTTTTTTATGCTTTCAGAAGACACTATACGAAAGTGAAAATGAAATGGATAAATCAACCAGAAGAGATACCATATTTTGGTGTAATTATTATGTCCGTTTTACGATGTAATCGTAAGTGACTGACTCACTGATGACATCTCAAATAACAATGATTTAGTTATCAATGTAAAAGTTAAAATAATCTTGAGGCAACATGTGATATTATTGTCGATGAAATTTTACACTATCAAAAAAAAAAAATAACGAAATATATATATATATATATATTATTTTGATCATATTATTTTGATCAAAATTATATATATTATAGTGCATGCACTACGGTCCTATAATTTTTTTTTTCTTATTATTATTATTGTTATTGTAGAAGTCAATTGAATGAATTATTTTAAGAATTATGCGTAAAATACTGACACATTAAAAGGAAAAGGAGGAAAAAGAAAAAATTATCGGCAAGATAACGAAAAAACAAGAAAGTGCCTTAATATGTCATACCGCATAATTTCTATCCTACGTACAAATATCTAATCACTATTATATAGAATCTAATATTATGCCAAATGTTTATTTGTTTAATTCGTTGTTAATGCATTCACATATTACATGATACAGCATAGATAATATTTATCGTTGAAATCGCTGAGTATTACGTGTTCGCCTCAAAATAAATTCGTATAAAATTTATTCAATTATCGTTTACTTAATTATTTCTTAAATGTATAAATTATGATCTCAATAATTATATAAATAGCATTTATTTTGCATTAAATATTTTATTGTAATCGAATTGTATGAGAATAATTATTTCAAATGTATATACAGAGTGAATAGGAAAATCTATAGTAAATAAAAGATTGTCTCAAGATTTAATAATTATTGATTATTATCAATATTATAAATTATTTGATTATATAAGGAATAACAGAGATTAAATTCAAAGATAAATAGTATTTTATTTGGAAATATTTTCCTACATAGTTCATAATCGAAAACCAACAGAAGTTTTGTAAAGAGAAAATCTGGATTTCTCACAACTGGAAACTATATGAAAGAAAAAAGATAATAATAATAGACTATTAAAAAGATGATAATAATAATAGAATATCAAAAAAATTTATATCAATGTACCGTATCTTTTTCCTTTGTTTTCCAGATCTTTGGTAAAATGGATAAGCATCTTTTCAAATTCTTTTTGTTGCTATAACGACGATATCATAAGTGACATCTTATATTTTTTTAACAGATAATTTTTTATTATTATGACGTATTAATAAGCAATAATTCATTACAATATTAATGCCCATGGTAGCTTAATAGCTTATTTGCAGTACCTTTACAATCTCCTTCTTTAATTCTTCTCGTCGAAGAGACAAATTTGAAACCTGACTTTGTAAAGATTTCACCTAATAATAAGATCGATTTTTATGTAAGATATTAATACGATATGTAAAAATATTCATAGAGGACAAACCTCTTCTTCAGTTTTATGGACATCTAGTTTCAGATCGCTTATTAAAGATTTGTAACGACTTCGACAAGTTGAAGTTTTATTTTCTATATCGTTCAATGCCTTTTCTACACTTTTTATTTTATACTGCGATTGCTTTAGCTACATTTTATCCCATTTTATGAGAAATAAATCATTAGTGAAATATTTATAAAAAGAAAGTATACAATATTAAAAACTACGAATTGCTCTTATAGTATATATAATCAAATTATTTAAATCTAACCATACGCTCCTTCTCTGTAAGTTTTTCCGTAAGTGTTTGCAGTTTCATATCCATATTTTCTTGGTTCTAAGCGCATTGTATATTAATTGTCATTCATAAAGATTATATGAAATAATTAAACGTTAATATAAAAAAAGATGTTATGTTTATTAAAAATGAAAATAATCTATAATAATAAATTACTTCATTGAACGTAGTAATCTTGGTGTTTCTTCCTTCGTCTAAAATCTATAGTAAAATAATAAATAAATAAGTAATAAATAAATAATAAATAAATAATATAAAAAGATAATAAATAAATGTAATAATTAATATATATATATATATAATATTTTTCACTACATCTTTTTACGATTTAAGATATACTAACACGTTTCTTTAATTCCTCCCTGTCGTCGTTATTCTGAAATAAAATGATAATAATTATTTTTTTTTTAAATAATTTCAACAATATTAAATATTTTTATGTATGCTCTTGTCTAGTCTTACTGAGATTATAATAAAAATAGCGATATACAATACAACAAACAGAAAAATCCATGATATCTTTGATATAAAGAATGTTAAAATAACCGTCCACATGGTTTTGTGAATTTAAATGTTAATATTCTAACCAAATCATATCGTTGTTGAGAGAATTTTACTGGCGACATTAGCAAAATTACCAAATTCATTTAATAAATTATTCGTGATAGATGAAGATCAAAATAAAAGATTTATTTGAAAATCAAGAGAATCGATTCAAGTTGATTAGTATTTTCCCGGGCTTATTCGAACAGTTGACATTGAATAACCATATGATCTATCGATCATTACTTTTTATCTAAAAGTAAGTTTCTTATATATAAAATTATAATAATTTTAATCAAGATTAAATTGTGTATTTTATGTAATATAAAATATCATTTTTTCTTGATTTCGGTAAGAAATTAAGTTTGTACTTGAAATTATTTCTTTCTTCCTCTGATTTTCTTCCTCTTCCAAAATAGATTTTCAATTTTAGATTTTAGTAGTATTGCTAAATTATTTCTTTACAAATATTCACGATTCTTTGAATATTAGTACACACGTATTAATTTAATATTTCTAATTGACGAGGTGTTCTATATACGGCAAAACGTATAAAGAGCCTTTGAATAGTGTTTTAAAATTTATATATTTTTTTCGATTGAACAGTAAAATTAACGTTAAGAAAAAATAAAGTTGATGTTAAGTCAGCTTCACAAAATATGTATCCGCATATTGTTACTAAAAAAGAAAGATATAAGAAAGAATAAAAAATTTTACTCATACTTAACCAATAAAAATGAAGTTTATGGATATAAAAAAATTATTTGCATTAGCAAGAATGCTAATAATTGTAGAAATTACTTAAATTACTCAAATGAAAATGTTACTTTGCCATCCCAATCACAGATTGTCATTGCAGGTGCAGGGACAGTTGCGAATTCTGTCGCTTATCACCTTATCCTTAATGGGTGGCACGATGTTCTTGTATTGGAACAAAACAGGTAATTTCAATAAGATCAATTATTTTAATTATTTTATATTTTATAATTTAAAAGCAAAAAAAATCACTTTCGTCTTATACACTTATAGGATCGGTAGTGGGACATCGTATTTTGGATCTGGAACTCTTGGTTTATTCAAACCAATTTCTCACAGGAACTTGATTTCTTACAGTATTAAATTATATCAGAAATTGCAAGAAATGGGATATGATATTGGATTGAAACAATGTGGGAGCATAAATTTAGCACAAACAAAAGATAGGATAATAGCTTTAAAAAGAAGGATGGCATATAATGTTCCAACTGGTTTACATTGTGAGGTAAAAATTATGATATAATATATTATAAAATTAATATAGATAAAAAAGAATTATTGTGAATAGATTTTAGATACAGATCATCTGAAACAATTACATCCATATCTGCATGTAAATGATCTTGAAGGAGCCATTTGGGTACCAGAAGATGCAGTAGCAGATCCCAGTGCTATTTGTGAAATTTTAGCAAAATTAGCCAAACAAGGAGGAGCAAGATATATTGAAAATTGCCGCATAGAGCAAGTCTATACTAAAAATAAAGCTGTACAAAGTGTGCGAACTGATCAGGGCATGGTTATTTGTGAATATTTCATTAATTGTGCAGGAATGGTAAAGCTGATATTGATTCATTTAATTTTAACATTTTATTTGATATTTATTTTACAATATGAATCTGTATTTTAAATTAACAATATAGTGGGCTCGTGAATTAGGTTTAAGATGTAATCCACCTGTAAGAATACCGGCATATCCTGCAGAACATTTTTATGCAATTACACCTCCTCTATCATCAGAATTGAAAATAAATTTACCATGCGTTCGAGATTTCGACTCGTATTCGTATATAAGAGAATGGCAAGGTATACTTTGTATAACATGATTGACATCATTAGTGAAGATGATATTATTATTATAATATATTATAATTTATACGAAATTAAGTAAAGTTATTTTATATAAAAAAGGTGGTCTATTGGTTGGTTGGTTTGAAGCTGAAGCTAAACCTGCATTTGAAAGTGGATTAGTTCCATCTAAAAACTGGACACAACACGTAAAGGATGATCCTATTCATTGGAAACCTCTTTGGGATAAAGTTATACATAGAATACCAATTTTGAAAAGTTTAAAGAAACCAGATGTATATAATTATCCAGATAATTTTACTCCAGATGGTAGATGGATTTTAGGTGAAAGTCCTGAAGTGAAAAACTACTTTGTTGCTGTGGGAATGAATGGAAATTCGTTACAAGGTAAACAGTATATCTAATCTTTGCATTTATAAATATTCTATCAACTTTCATAATTCATCTAATTTTGCAAGGAGCGGGAGGTATTGGAAAAGAAGTTGCCGAATGTTTAATAAATGGTGAATCTACCCAAGAACTCCTTCCATTTAATGTGCAAAGATTTTTAGATTTGCATAATAATAAACAGTATTTACAGCAAAGAATTAAAGAAGTAGTTGGACGAAATTATGCTATTCTCTATCCTCATCAAAGTGAATACAAATACGCCCGTAAATTACGTTGTTCGCCATTGTATTCTGTTCTCGAGGATCATGGAGCTATATTTGGTGTTAAAATGGCATATGAACGACCACTTTATTTCGATTCAAATTATCGTCGTGAGTAAATATTATTTTATTTCTATTATGTCAATGTGTGTGCTAATTTGTTTTATTCAATTATACTATTTATATTGAAAGGAGGACAAAAGAAACCAGTAATGCCATTAGGAAGTTTTTATAAACCTAAATTTTTTGACTTCATGAAGGAAGAGTTTCAAGCATGTCGAGAGGGTGTAGGAATAATAGATATGAGTTCATTTTCTAAAATTGAAATTAAAGTAAGTACAGAAATAATTACGATAAATTTCAATTTCATTGAAATGATTGTTTCAAATTTTAAATACTTACATTTTGATTGATATAGTCTAGTCGCTTGGAAGTAGTAAATTACCTTCAAAAATTATGTTCTAATAATGCAAATATACCAATTGGTGGCATAGTGCATACCGGTATGCAAAATGAAAGAGGTGGCTATGAGAATGATTGTATGCTAGTTCGTCAAGCAGAAAATAGTTACTTCATGGTTTCACCAACTTCACAACAAACACGTATTTATCAATGGATGTCCAGGTAATTAATAGTATTTGAAAGTGTTTTGTTGACTATAGTATAATCTGCATAAGAATAGAGTATAATTCAAGTAATACGATTTTATATAAATTGTTTTATTATTATTATAAAAATAATTTACTTACTAGAGTATTTTTCTAATACATAGGCATTTACCGCACGATCATTCTGTTGGTCTTAATGATGTGACTTCAAAATATACAGTTATTAACATGGTAGGACCTAAATCTACTGAATTACTTTCTGAGCTTTCTAATTCAGACATTAATCTTTCCCCTTTCACATACAAGGTATTTATAGTTTATTGATAGAGCAGTAAGTACCAACTTTATTGTAGAGATGTAAATATATAAATCTAAAAATTGTACTTCTTTTATACAGACAGTAAATGTAGCATATGCCTCAGATGTAATGGTTATGGCATTTACGCATACTGGTGAATCTGGATATTGTTTGTATATACCTTCTGAATATGCGCTGCACGTATACTCAACGTTAATGGAAATTGGTAAAGATTATGGTGTGCGAGATGTTGGTGTGCTTACACAACGCTTTATGAGAATAGAACGTTTTATTCCTTTCTGGGCAGAAGAGTTGACACCATTTGTTACACCCTATGAAGCAGGATGTGGATACAGTGTTAAATTGGATGTAAGTAAATACAGTTATTCATTGAATGTAATTAAATAAATATGGCATTTAAAAGTTTGTTTTTTTTTTTTACATTTTAAAGAAAGAATATTTCATTGGAAAATTTGCATTACAACGTCAGAAAGAACAAGGTGTCACTAAGAGATTAGTATTGTTTATGCTCAACGAACTAGATGCAAATAAAAATATATGGGCATGGGGTGGAGAACCTATTTATCGAAATGGTGAATTTGTTGGAACTATTACATCTGCAGGGTAAATATTTGTAATAAATTTAAAGTTCAGAGCACATATCTGTACAAGAAATATTTTTCTATATTTTACTTATAATTATTTTATTAATAACAAATTCATTTTTATAGATATGGCTTTGCTACAGAAAAACTTATATGTCTTGGTTTCATTGGTTTACCTGGAATGAATCTTCAAAACAGCACGAATATTGTTACAACAGATTTTATAATGGAACCTACATCCTATTATGAAATAGATATTGCTGGATGTAGGTTTTCTGCAAAACCTCATATTCATCCTTTACCAATTCCTGCCTTAAACAGTAAACTTAATAAAAAATATATTCCCACACCAGTTACATCCTATCAAAGCGATATATCACGATAGAAATACGGCATTTCATCATTATATATTTCATATATAAACATATGAGAAAATATATTAAGATCTCATAAGTAAAACATGATTGTGGATAAAAAAAAGAAAAAAGAAATTACATACTAATTTCACTTTCTTAATCTTATTTCTTAGATATATAGTCTTTTTGTTAACTATTATAAAATTAACAGCTTATAGTATACAATTTGCACTATATTTTCAAGTATTTATTTTAGTAACATTTATTTACAAATATATAAATTGTGCAAATAATGGGACATATTCAAAAAGACATACCAAATTTTTGGTCTTTGAAGCAATAAAAATTCATAAATTCATATTACACGTCATTTCCTGTATATTATTCTGTACTACCTGTGACAAAACTTGTGAAATTATAAACTTACAAAAAATTGCAATTTGTCCAATTATATAAATTATTACATATTTGCAGTTTTTAAGATAATTTTATTCTTTAAAATTTATTTATATATTACTTCATATAATAATTAAAACTCTATTTATTCTGCATAATTTTAATGCTGTAAGCATTCTTTTTAAACTGTTATTTAAATTATTATTTAAAATATTACTTAAAACAAAAGAATGATATAATGATAAGAGTTTTTTTGCATATTAGTTTGGTACTATAATAATAGTTCGATATATAATTTTTATATAAAGCACAAATTTGTTTATTCTAAGAAAGATAGTTATAGCAATTATTGGATGTATCATTCATTCATAAATATTTACTTCTTCTTAAAAAAAACCATAAGATATTGAATGAAGTACATTCCGCTTCGATGTTATAATTACAAGTTATGAATCAATATTTGCAAACTGGTTTTGATAGATTTTTTCTCCTTTCTAACAATTGTGCATAAAAAATAAAATACTATATTTAGGAATTTCAAATTAATTGGTACAAGATATTGACATTAAATGTTGAAGCTATTACTCTGTAAAATCATCAATGTACAGATTAATAATTGGCAATATTTTTTTTTTTAGAAATTCAATTTAATTACGATGCCCATGCTTCTAATTCCTTTAAATCCTCATCTTCCTCTGGTTTAGCTTCTATAAAAAATAAATAGTATTTAAATAGTAATATTATATAATATTGAAAGAATATATAAAATGCTGTTAGATATTTCACTTTTATTGTCATATGAATCATTACTTGTACGAGTTCTTGCAGGAGCAGTTGGAACAGCTGGAACAGTCGTAGCAGGTACTGCTGGCAATTCATCTGTAGATTCAATACCAAGTAATTCTTTATCAAGTTGTTCCTGTTCAAGTTCCTCTAATTCTTTTTCAAGTTCTTCCTCATCTATGTCTTGACCAAATGCTACAGGATTAGATATGGCATCAGAAATTTCTCGAGCAACATCTTGTTGTTCAGCAATATCGTCCATCATATCATGAACTTGGTCAACATCCCTATAATAAAATAAATATAGAGAATATTTTCAAGACACAACTCTGATGTAATCACAATATAGCATTAACGCAATCTTTCTAATCTGAATATTCTTGAATAAAGAAAAATTTTTAGTATCTTATAAAAGAAAAAAAAACAAAAACAAATTTCTTACATGTGTTGATGAGCAGCTTTCAATGAATCTGCTGCACCTTTCATAGTAGTAAGAACTGCTGTATTTGTATTAGCACTTTCTAGAGCTTCTCTTTGCATTTCAATCGTCGATAAAGTACCATCAATTTGTTGTAGTTGCTTTTCATAACGTTTTTTTCTTTTAAGAGCTTGGATAGCCGCTGTAAATAACATATAAATACAAAACAAACGTCTCCTCATTAGTATATCGAATAATATATAGCTAATTCCAAATTAAATGTTAAATAATATCATATATATAATAATATCGTATATATGTATGAATATACACATATATTGTTTCAAATTATAAAAAATTGGAAGGTGTTTGAAATAATGAAAAATTGCAAAGGAACAAAACTTGACAGAAGTACTAAAAGATGTCATAATGACAGATGACTTTAACCATTAAAAGTTATTTTAATTTGATATTAATTTTAATTATCAAAAGAAAAAAAAAAATAAAAACAAATTGAAGATTTATCTAAAGCAATAGATAAAATACCTCTCTTGTTCTTGGTTCCATTCTTTTTTGCAGTTTGAATTTCAAGTTCAATTTTACTTTCAAGAAAATCTTGCTTTTTTATCAACATATCCTCCGTTTCACGTAATTTTTGAATTGCCTCGGCCGTTGAAGGAGCAATTGGCTCCTTTTTACCACCAAATACTTTGGTAAAGAAACTCATTTTTACGTTTTATCGTCTAATTTTATTATCACGATAGGAGTGATTACACACGTAACCTTAAACAAAATATATACTTTAGAAAATATCAAAGAAGTATCACTGATCGTGTCTGTGCACCGCCATATTTTCTTAGGCATTTGACTTGCGTTATGAGTCATCACTAAGTAAATCCATGATTCCCACCTACTTTTAATTATTTTTCTATATTACAGAGTAATATTTAAAAAAATATATTAATAATATTTTATATATCTATGTACTATCAACAGATCATAGAGATAACTTTAATAGATACTATAAACAAAACTAAAAAATTCACCACTGTATAGTAACAAATCCATTTTCTCGATTGAACACTTCCGTATTTATGGTATGTATATATATATACACACACAAATCATAAAATACACATACACATAATAAGATTAGAGGAAATAATCGACTTTAATTTGCACGTAATTTAAATATTTCGTAATATATTATATTCTATATTTATTAACGCTTTATAGCATTGCTTATATTCATTATTCAAAAAATAGATTCTTTTCTAATTTTCGAAATATCTCCAATAAATCTTTATTCGCCTCATCTCGAAATTCGTATCATCTATATTCAAAAATTAAGTTAATATATTTGATTTAATAAGCGTATTTTCTGGTACATTTAAAAATACTATAATATTTTTTAATAAAAACGAAGAAGATTTAGAGAAATTTCGTTTGAAGGATATGTAGGGAATGAAAATATGGTATAACTGGCGACCCTAGTGTATTATATCTTTTAGATGTTAGAGATTTGTTTATCTGAAGTGATTCTATACATCTAACAGTATTTGTATGATATTGCAAAGTCATGTCATAAATTTGTAAATATATATAAAAACGTTTTATATATATTATATATATATATACACACACATAGAAAGTAAAATAGATATATAAATATATATAAACTATAAAACAATTCACGTAATCGTAGTTTCGATTCTAATTATATCATAATAAACGTTTATAACAACACTAAATTATTTCATTAAATACATTTTTATGGATAATAACAGCGAGCTTAAAAATGATGTAAGTAATGTAGTTTTGACTACATATCTTTATATGTATACATTTTAAGTTTCGTTGTTTCATGTTACATTCGTTTTTGTCTTCATGAACTAGATTTAGCTTGATTGACGTTTCGTAAGACTATTTAAAAATAAATAAAATGTCTCCCGGGCGTACGTCTTACCGTCTTTCGCTGATTTTCGGAATTCTCTTCCTTAGATTAAAGTCTTTACGATGAGACTCTCGTGGCGCGACGCAGATAGGGTGAGATTTAAACAGTATCTAATATATATTAAATATTAATTTTTTGGGTTTAAATGTAACTGATCATGTATGATAAAATAAAATATTTTTCTAATATTAAATTAAACTTATTTTAGGTATTTTTCTATTGCTTATACAGGATTATATGTATTGTTTATTTAAATTTCATTTGTTTAATACTTAAATCTTTTAGATTCATTTTACAACATTTTTAGTTTTCTTTTCATATAAGAAATATATTATACAGTTTTCTTCTATTCCTTGTTATATTATATAATATATAAAGTCCTTAAATTAACATAAAATATTTCTTTATAGGATTTCAGGAAACATTTACCAGGTGGTGAAACCACAGAACGTCAGTTAACAGAAACCTTGCATTCTGTGAAAACTGGTTTCAAACCATTGCCTGGTTTTGATCCAGAGCGGGATGATGTTGCATATTATTGTGCACAACAAGAAATCGATTGTGATGAAGTATATCCTGGAATATATATAGGAGATGGGTTAGTATCTGCATTGGAATTATTGAACTTATAGTTTATATAGATTAGGACAGTTTGAGTTGCGTCTAGCGGGTAATTAAGTTGGAAGAATAGTCACCTTGCAAGTGAAAGATCTCAGATTTTATTTTATAATTTAATAGAAAACCTATGACTTCTTTTTCCAGTACTTACTCTAAAAATAATTTCTATCTTTTCACATTGTTATAATAATAAATTATTAAATTATAATTAATAAATTATTTAATTCAACAGTGCCACAGCAAAAAATAAAAGTTATCTCGCGATGCTTGGTATAACACATTTACTTAATGCTGCAGAAGGGAAGAAATTTGGATTTGTAAATACTGATAAAAATTATTATATAAATACAACAATAAAATATCTTGGATTACCACTGGCTGATCATCCAACTGCTGACATAAGCAAGTATTTCTACACTGCAGCATCTTTTATCGATGAAGCTGTTTCTAGTAATGGTAAATTTTGATACATATGTACGTATTTATATATGTGTAGTTATATATGTTGGAATATTAAGTTTTATGATTTTTATTATCTTTATTGCATATGTAATTACTGGGAAATGTTTTACAAAAAATTTGTACAGTTTTTTTGCACAAAGATATGATACACAAAATAGATCTTATTATCTTTCATAAACGAAATTCATTTTACTTATATATTTACTTATATAGATCAAGTTGAATTCAGAACATTCCTCACTTTTATTATTAAGAATGTTACCACTAAAGGAATGGTAAGTTACAGAAGATATTAATATCTTATTAAAAAGACATTGTAAAAATAATGTATTTCATGTGTATCATCTAAAAACTATACAATTTTGTTACAAAGTTTTTTTTATTAATTGCATTTATAAAAAAGATAATTAAAGTCATTGGTTAACTATTATCTGTATATATTACTATTGTATTATCTGGAAATTGTTTTGTATTTATAATAAAAGAAATCGATTATATATAAAAATGGAATAAATTTTCCAGATAATCCAATAATATTACTTTTTTAAATATCTGGTGTGTATGTTTGTGATTATGTGATACTTTTAATCATAATATCTGCATATATATTAGGTAAAGTTTTTGTACACTGTATGCTGGGAGTATCTCGCAGTGCAACATGCGTCTTAGCATACTTGATGATAAAGAAGAATATGTTGGCTGTTGATGCAATAAGAATAGTACGAGAAAAACGCGATATTCATCCGAATTATGGATTTCGCAGTCAATTAGCTCAACTGGATAATCAACTGCGTCGACAACGTTTATAATAAAAAGAAAAAAATTTAATTGGTAAATATATCTGTAGTATAACATTATGCAGATTAAGTGTGTTTTCGGTGCGCGATTGCAATGTAATATTCTTCATATATTTCTTGTTACACATTTTTCGTAATAAGATAATTTTTAAAAACGTACATATATCTTATAATAAATAAAAATGAATGATCCCGAATATGTGTCTAATGTTAATATGTACTTCGAAAGTAAAAAATAATTATTGATTTTTTTTGTTTTTCAATATTATTATGAACATATAATCATTATGATTTAGATGTCTTTTATAGTATAATGTTTATATAAAAGTCTCAAAATCAGAGACCACAACTGTTTAGCCTAAAGATTAAAAGTTATGATATAAAAATTAATATATTTCTTTAAATGATTTTGGCTATGAATAATCATTATAAATGATTGAAATTGTTTTGGATATTGATGACCATAATCAATGACGGAAATTGTTTTTGGTTACGCATAACTCTTATAGACAACGAGAATTTTTTTTCGGTTACGAATAACCATTATCGCAAATTATTTTTTGATTAACCATTATTGCTTATGAGAATTATTTTTTGGTTACCGGCGACCATTAACGGTGACAAAAGTTCCGTTTTGGTTAGGAGTAATCAATGATGGAACTTTTATTTGGTTAATCAATATAGATTACAGGAGTTTTGTTTTGGTTTCAATCATTATCAAATTTTTTTTATTAATGTGATTAATAATTAGTATTCATAACGATGTACAATGAATTACAATGAATTATAGAATTTATATATTTTAATGAATAAAAACTCAGTTATAATTGTATATTTTATTAACTGATGAGTAAAATCTATATTAGTTTTCACAAATAATACTTCATGAAAATTATGCAGTGATAAATTGCATTGCCCATCATTCAACATCAGTTTTGGAGCTGAAAAAGTTTTTTCCATAGTAATTTGTTAAAGCAAGAATAGTTTGACAAATTATATCAAGTCTTGCTACATATGGCATTACATGTTTCTTTTCATTTCAATATATCATTATTTCAGTCTTTATGACACATTTTTTTTTGTTATTGTTTATTTTTAGAAGCTCTTTGGAATTTATATTTTCTGCCTCATTGACCGAAGACGATTCAATTGGACATCACCTCTCTTCTTGTTTACATCTTGCGATGTTTATATATTCGACACATGGAAGGTAGATGCATATTGTATTATATTATCTACAATTCAGTTTCAGTAAGTTATTGAGATCACGATAGATTATTGCTTTGATGTGTTCAAGATTAAATTTATATGACAATAAATTATTATTGTAATAAATTATTAAATCATTAATTCATTAGCTTATTTTTAATATTAGTTTTAGCAATAAAGAAGTATTCAATTATTATTAGTTCATTAGTTTATTTTTATTGTTATTAATTCACATTCAAATTCGTATCCGTGTTAATATCATGAGCCGATAGAAAAATATCTTTGTACGCAAATTTTTTCATTTTGATAGTAACAAAAATAAGAGTATACGTAAAATATGTGAACTGAAATTTGAAAGATCGCATGTTACGGATATAAAAAGGTGTATAATTACTCATCATTTAAAAATATGTAGAGAAGAAAAGGAGAAATTTGAGGGTTACATAGTAGTAAAAATATTAGTGATAGAAGAAAAATATTTTCCATTAAATTCCGTCAAAAATAGATACAACTTCAAGGTATAATTGAGTAATATATAACGATGGCGATGAAAGAGTTTCATAAAAGACATATAGCCGATAATTTAAAAGAAGAATTCGAAAATGTTTTGAATGAATTTGATACTTAAAAAATTCCGTCCTTTATTTGTAGTAATAACTGAAAGCTGTCGAATTATTTTTTAGTGAAAATTTTATTGAAATATTTATTTAATGAATATAATATTTTTTCAACAAAATTCTATTAAAATTTTATTGAAGTTAAAGAAGATGAGAATTTCTTAAATATAGAGAAATCATGAACAATATATAGAAACATTAATAGAACAATTGTGTTCATTAGAACACGATTCTATCAATAAAGTATACAGTACATTGCAACTTTCAATATTAGATTTTTTTTCCGAAAATAAAATTGATATTTTATATCGAGTTCGTAAAATTGTAAAAGTATTAAAAACTCTGAAATTTAGGCATATTAATGTAATTTCTCTTATTATTATACCCGCCATAGCAGTTTATTAATAATATATTACTTTTTCAGATACTCATTGGATCATTCACGTTTAAAAAAACCGCTAATTCATGTTTTGACTCACTGGAACTCAATATACGGTATGTTACAGCGATTTATAGAGCACAAAGAGTTTTGAAACGAAAATTAAAAAAATGATAGCTTTATTGAAAGAGGAATGTATCAAGATCAAAAATATTGTAAAAGTACCAACTTATTTGAATGAAATCACATTGAAATTGCAGAAAGGTCAATTATTTTTAGGGAATTTTTATAAATTGTGGTTAAATCTTAAATTATAATTAAAAATCAAGAATTCGACTGCAGTAGTGATCTTTTATTATGTAGGAAAAAAACTGCTACTGTTAAAAAATGATGCAGTTTATGGTTTTTTAAAATTTACAGTTTAAACATCTATTGCGATAGAGCAAAAGGCAAAGATTAGGAAACATCGTCGATTAATACTTCGTCTTCTAAGTATTAATAATTGGAGAATCTTCCAAGGATACTCCTAACCAAAACGAAACTTTTGTCACCGATAATGGTCGCCAGTAACCAAAAAATAATTCTTGTAAGCAATAATGGTTATTGGTAATCAAAAAAAATTCACGATAATGGTCATTAGTAATAAAAAAAATTTTAGTCATTTATATTATTTATAACCACGCATTATATTATTCATACAATATGCAAATTTTAATACTTTTTAATCATTTCATTTTTTGAAAAGTTTCTGCAAAATTTAATGTCAACCGACTTTCATTTAAATAAAAATTAATTTTCTTTTAATTTTTAAAACAATTGTTATTTTTGGTTTATGTTCAAGATATATGCATTCCTTAAAAAAGTAAATAACGTTTTATTAGAATACAATCTAAAACTGATTTCATATAAAAACATTATTATTATTATTTAAGATCTTGATTGTATAAAAATGGAGCATATTCATTAAAAATTGAAATGCTCTTATTTCCAAATATAATAAATAAGTTCATGTAGTATTAATGTGATGTCTCTACAAAAATCTACAATATTAAAAAATTTCTTATAATATTAAGAATTGCCAGTATCGTTATTTTAAAAAAGGCATGATGAAAACATTTAATTGAATATTATATAAATTAAATATTAACTCTTGAAATAATACTCTTAGTATAGAGCAAATTATATCAAAATATATGAAATTTGAAGAGATTTTTTTTTCAAAGATTATATTAATTTATTACTCGTGGCCTTTTATTATGTGCTTCTAAACTGTGATTCGTTAAACTTATTTGAGCATCTACTTCTGCTGGTCCACTACGTTTTCTTGCTTTTGGTGATAACTGTTTTAAACATTCCATGTCATGAAATACTACTTGAGCTCCTCCGCCAGAAGTTGGTAAAATATCTCCCTTATAAAGTTTCGTCTCAAGTTCTCCATCCGTATCATGTTCTTGTGCTACAAGACAATATCTAGACGCGCCATCTGTAATTTCTTTTGGATCTGTAAGTCGATTAACACTTCGTCTCCTATGCATTAATGGTTGGAGGACTGTTCCAAGAGGAACAAGTGCTCCAGGTCTGTGATCGATCCATCTATCTGCACTTTGAGAACGTCTATATCTTGGATTTGATATTATTGCTTTGTCTTTCCGTGATCTTCCATCTGTACAAGGTACTAATTTTTTCGTAACATCTCCTACACGAACAGGTGTAACAGGTGGTACATCCTTGGATACAACCTTTCCTGAATTAATGTCATTTTCATCTACTAAAATTTGTTTCATCAGTCTCAATTTATCATCTTGCGCTTTCATTTGATTCTGAAGTTGTTCACGTTGTTGACGAAGTTTTACTTCTAATTCTTTATTCATTTTATCAGTTTCTACCTGTATTTTGGTATTGTATTTTTGTTTGACCCTTTGTTTATCTATCAGACGTTGATTTAATGCCATGTCTCTGTCTTTTAACTCCTGTTGCATATTTTTTATTGTTTCGTTTGCATTGTTTAATTTGCACATCAAACTATCGATTTGCGCTTCTGTTTTTCCAAGGTGACCTTCCAAAGCTAAAATCTTTTTCTTTTGTTGTGCATTCGAAGCTTTCAATGCAGCATTTTCTACTTTTAAACTAATATTTTCTTGTTCTGTCAATGAAAGCATTTTCCTGAATTCAATTTCTATAAAAATATAATTAAGTTAAATGTGTTTTTTTTTTGTTATATATAAAACAACATATAATTAAAATAAATGTCTTACGCTTTTGCTGTAAATCAGCACGTAATATATTTCGTTTATTTATTCTTTGTTCTAAGAAGTGCATCAAATTTGTTATGATTTGATCATTGTGTGGATTATTCATTTCTAATTCAGGAAATGGTCCACCCAAGCTATAAAAGGAAATAAAATAAATAAAAATAAAATAACTAAAATTAATTAATACTACATTGAATGAATTATGAGGTTTACCTGTACACTAAACCTATATCAATTTCTAAACCATTAGCTTCTACACGACCTTCTTTCTCCAATCTATTTCTTGCTTCTTTGAATATCTGTACAAAAAATTATTCCATTAAAATATCTATAAACTATTAGATATTATAATTTTAAATTTCGTTTATTATATACTTTATTAGCTTGTCTTCTTCCAGGTGTATAACCAAGATCAAGTTTTGTGACTGTAGATCTTGCTACTTGTACTTCTTGAGTTACCTCAGCGAATTTCATCACTTGCTACACAGATATAATGTAATTATGCAATTAAAATAAACGTATGTATGTAGGCATATGTTACTATTATATAATTACTATTATATCACTACTATTACTACTATATAACGTACGATTGTTTCATCATAATCATCTGCTCTTGGATTAATACAAACAATCATCCTGACTTGTCCTTCACCATCAAAGTAATTCTTAAACAAATGTGTGAGTTTTGAATCTCTATATGGCACCATCTTGCTTGTTCCTTGTGTTTGATTCTCTCTTAAAATTTCCATGCATGACCGAAGAGTCATCAAGGAATTATTTATATTTCCTGTATATAAATTATATATAATTGTTTTTTTGTAAAGAAAGATATTTCAAGAAGAAATAAAAAAATTTTACCAACTATATACCTGCTTCTCTCAATCGTTGCCCTGTATTCTTAGTACGATTTGTACGCTCGCTTCCAGCTAAGTCAACTAATGATAATTGACTTATACATATCACACGTTTGTCTTGTATAATTTGCTCGCCTTCGCAATCTAGAGGTGCCTATTTACTGATATATATTAGATTCACAAGTATAAAAAGTAATATATGTGTATGTATATATGTATACATGTGTATATATATGTGTGTAAAATATATATATAATAATACCTGTACAAGACGAATAGTAAATGCACTATGAGATCTACTTGATTCTGCATTAAGAGCTGTATGAGCAACACGTCTTTTTCTCTGACCACGATGAAATACTTCAAATGCTTCCTCAGAACTTTTTACTTCCACTTCTGTGACAGCATGGACGTACATGTTTTTATTACCATCTTCTCTGACAATTTTACTTTGTAATGTTCTAAATATTGCAACAAAATATTAATGTATAATGTGTGATATACAGTATTTCAATGTTATGTCAAAAAAAATTACATGACAACGACTTTATAAATATTGTACATACTTAGCTCTAACATCATCATCATCTAATAAATCATATACACAATTGTTATATATTTCAACATATGTAACAAATACAGCATATGCATTATCTTGATCAATAGTAAGAGTTTGGACTTCATTGCATCCACGAATTATAATAGGATTACTATCACTGTCACTATCTACTTTACGTCTAAAAATAAATAATATCAGTATATCCTTAATTCCTACATGTATTATAATATTAACATAAATTGGAACTTGCCTATTTCATTTAACTTACAGTTTCCCAGATTTTCCATTTTTCTGAGACATAAGACCAGCATGCATTTCACTTTGTCGATCTAACATTGCATCTGCTTCACTTTGTAAATCAAAACCATTGAGTTTATCAGGTTTAAATATAAATTTCTTAGTCTGATAATTCATAATACTATTAAATATAACATCAAAACAACGGGGCATAATCCCATCTTGAGAAGAATCTCCTGTCATAGTATATGTTTTACCACTGCCAGTTACTCCATATGTAAACAATAAACCATTTCTTCCTTGTATAAGATTTTCAACCAAAGGTAAAGCTACTGTATCAAATATTTCCTTTTGTGTAGCATCTGGTGAAAATACACGAGTAAATGTGGTTTGTATTTCCTTATTACTAGTATTACGAAAGTTAACTGCAGATTCTGGTGGTGTGATAACTATTGTTGTATCAGATATAACTCTCATACATGATATATCATTAGGGAATTGCATGGGTTTTAAACGACAGTATACTTGTACAGGATCTTTACATAACATGTTAGTACCTCTTATACGATTAATTGGTTTACGGGATAACCCTAACATTTTTCCACGTCTGAAAAATAATAAACATAATTATAATGAAATATCTTTATATCGTTTTTGCAACAATATTTCAATAATAGAAACTAAATTTATAAAGACTACAATATGCAACATTTTGACATAAATTTTGTTATGCAAAGAAAAATTATATACAACAAATTATTTTTAAAATGTAATATATTATGAATGTATTGATAAACTTACGCAGATTTCATTGTGATTTGGATAAGATTAATTTTTTCAATTATTCTTGAAATATATTAAATAGTCTTAGATCTTCCTTTAGTTTCCGTTTTTACTCTCGCTTGAACTCACTGAACTATATTTAAAAAGATTAATATTTACAAAATTATACTTGATTTCATGAATAAAGATAGAATTATTTTTTAAATATCTTTAAGAGAATACACTGCATTTGTTATGAATTTATTACAATGAAGTCTGACATTATTTTCCAACTGTAAACTGTTTCAAACATTCAAATTGAAAAATAGGCAGCGTTTTCAATATCGATAACGGTTACATGTACATTTCCCCAAATATGTTATTTGGACAAAATATTTGTATTCCTTACATTGCGTATAATAAATAATTAATAAAACATATTAATATTATTTTTCTTATTAAAAAAGATTCTATTATTGACCATTAATTTAAGTAAATTGGTTTTCTTATTAATCAATGATTAATACTTGTTTATATTGAAAGAACAATCCAATGTAAAATTATACGATGGAAACGCACTTGCCAATCAAAGTTCATACTTTTAATTGGTTTATGATAAGTTCAGAGAAAACTTATTTTGTAACGCAGCTGTTCATAAATTTGATTTATTTTACATAAAAAAGTGCGTAAAATTTGTAATGCTTATATACATTTTATTATGCAATAACCCTTATTTTATTTTTATTTTATGATGTGAAAAATGTAAAAAAATATTCGATACGTAGATGCATTTTATTTACATTTTTTATTATATCGATCTATTATCTTAGATCTAGTATTTTTTTTATTAAATATAATTGAAGGGAGTCATTAAGATTTCTTACTTGGTATCTTAATTGACGCAACTTTTCCTCAATTTCTTTGGCATCAGGGTAATCATATTTATTATCTAAATATATTCTCAAGCTGTTAATTGCACAACTATTCAAATCAATTCCGTCCAAATTATCTCTTGTCTTAATTGCATATTCAACTTTTTTTTTAATTGCTTTTCTAATATTTAACAGAAAATTCATCTTCTGGCTCATAAACTGTTCATTCTATTTCAACATTAGAATTATCGCTGATTACTACTGGAAAAATTCATCTATGATCTAATACAATATATTCTTTATCTATTTATTATATGCAATATATTCTTTATTTGTTTTATTATTCTAACTTATTATTCTTTATTATTCTAACTGGATAATCTTCTCATTTTTTTTTGTATTTCTTTTAACAATTCACCAATTCGTTTATATTGTTACCATTTGTATATACGCTAACACTATTTTTTTATGTCCATTTTTTATTTTCTTTTATGTCGATCTACCTCATTTTTAGCCATCTACGAATTATCCACTCTCAATTTCAACTCAAATCGCAGTCGAGTGTTTTTGAATCATTATAAAACTTTTGAAGTAATAAGTCAATGTTTAAGCCCCTCCTATTAATCATATCGAGGACGAAAGGTCTGAATTGAGACGGATAATTGGTTGTAATTAATTAGTAGAAGAGCATTTGAGTGGCCACGAGTCAATTTTTTTCTTCTTATAACAAAATTTATAGATATAAGAAATAGATTTCACAGTATTATTTAAATATCGATTAAGGATTAAAAATCCATTAAGTCCAATAAAAACTAATTTAAACTTTTGTACGTGAGAACATAAATCAACCTTTTGATCAGATAAAATACGGAACAATTCTTTTCTACTTTTTGATTAGTTAAATAGATTTTGCTGCATATTATCAATTTTTCCTGTTTTTTTTTTCCATTAAACCTTGTTCAATTTGATTTGATGATAAAGGAATAGTAATATATAGTCATCGTTAGATGATTAATACTAATTGTATGTTGATGGTGGGATGATAACGCATATATATATACACGTAAACATGTATATTTTTGTAGAAGTAATTTATTTTTTTTGCACTTATATAAATAGAACAAAATTAAGATTACTTCTTAGACTTTTTGTCTTTGCCAATTTTGGTAACATCATCAGGATTTTCTGTAGCATCCTTAACACGTTTTGCTCTTATTCCCACTAATCTGGCATCTGCTCTAGCTTTTCGTAATGTTATATATGCAGAGAATTTCTTCTCATCGTCAGTAATAGCATGTTTCTTTGTTTTGATAGCTGGTTGACGTCGTACAGGCATAACCTCTCCTTTAACTTGTGTTGCCACTTTCATTTCTTCCTCGCTTGCATCACCTTTCTTGGGCTATTACATTATAAAAGTAGAATGATATTAGATAAATGTATACATACAACAGATCTGAACAACTGTATAATTTTTTGATTTTATCACTTCTATTTCAATAAATTTGTTGTAAAAGAATACAAACAAAAAATGTTATGAACAGATGAAGACAACAAAACAGAAAATCTATTTGAGAATCATGAGCTTGCTACAACTCGTACATATTAAGTTGTCCAGATATGACTCATGATATTAAAACAAAGTGCCTTTCAATAAGCATTATAGTTTGAAATATATATATCACATATAAATATATCGTAATAACAATTAAAAAAATTATTAAATATACCTTCTTTTCATTTATGGGGAAAAGAATTAAATTAGCCTTGTATTCTTTCAGTCTCTGGGCATTTGTTTGTAAAGACTCTATAGATTTATTGCGTCTTCTTGGATCGACTGCAATTCCAATTGTTCTAGCAAATCTTTTGTTTAAACCACTAGCTTTTAGTTCCTGAAGAGTAAATCCTTTGCCAGCCCTAACTTTTGTATGGTAACGGAATGTTGGACAATGTACTATTGGTCTTAAAAGGTTCACAGGTCTAAAATATATATGATATGTTTAATCATTTCATAAATAACCATTTATGTTTACAGATTTTTTTCTTGTCTGTCTTATACTAACAAACAAGAATAATTAAGTAGAGTAATATAATAAAAAATATAAGCATAAAATTCATAGTTGCACTATAACTATGAACTATATTATATTAATTTAAAATTTTATTTTATTATTAAATTTACTTATTGATCATTACCTTGGTGCAACTGTACGAGCTTTTTTTATACGATTTTGTCTCCGACGGTATTTTCTTGCAGGCTGATTGAACCAAGTTTTTACAAAACGTTGCCAGTCCTTATGGAAATGTCCATTAGGGATCATGTTATTACGTTTCCCCATTGTTACACTGTAATTGTTAAAAATATAATCAATATTATGAAAGGAATACAATATTATTATACGATATTACTTAATTGTCAATAATACGGTAAATACGGTAAATATTTACTATATATTAAATATATATGCAGATTAATATTAAACTTGTAAATCATCGGAATAAATATATATATTAAAATTCAATAAAAAAAAAATAACACTTTAAAATGTATATAACTCTGTATTAAAATGTAGTAACTAATTGTAATAGTAAAAACAATATGTGTTTATATTCCTAACCTCGCTCACAATGTTATGAAATATGAAAATATAAGTAATTTCAATTATATATATATATATAATATTAATAATAAATGAAAATGTTGAAGATAATTTATTTTATAAATCGAGTACTAGAAAATTGTCAGATGCTTACAGTTAAGACAGATTCGATACTTGATATAACGTTCACTTGTGTGCCGTTCCAATGTATACCGGAAAAGGAATGATTTACGAAAATATAGACTATATTTCATAAAAATGAAAAACGCTCTTGTTATAATTACATATCTTAATTTTACAAATTAAAAAACATTAATTATATTAATATTGAATTGTAATAAATTTTCATAAGTTTATTTAGTTATTAAATATAGTATGAATATAAATATAGATTTGACTAGAGTTGTCTCGTAAAGTCAATCAAAAATATAAAACATGAAGTATGGTTTTATAAATATATTAAAACCAATTTTTAATAAACGACATGAATATTTTTTAAAAATAGTTATAAAAAGACGAGCTTCTACTGGTATTTGTTCATTAAAGGTATTATCAAGATTATTGTGATTACTTTATTCACATGCACTACTCCATAACCTATATTTAAGTTTTATTTTAATTGTAAAATTAACAAACATGTTAATATTCACATTTGAAATTACAATTCATATTATTTTTAGGATGATGATCTTAATATAACTACGAAAAATAAAATAGAGTTGTATTGGAAGAATAAGGTGAATCCGAATTTACATGATAAAAATGATACTACAAAGGATAAGTTTTATGTCCTTTCTATGTTTCCTTATCCTTCTGGAAAACTTCATATGGGCCATGTTAGAGTTTACACGATCAGTGATGTTATAGCACGTTTCTATAGGATGACAGGTAAAAAAAATAATTATACTATCAAATTTTTGTTTTCCTATAATAAAAATAATATTTAATCAGCATGGAAATGTCAACCTTGCATAAATAATGCTTAAAAAACTAATAATGAAATTTTATATTTGATATAGGTAAAAATGTAATTCATCCTATTGGATGGGATGCATTTGGTCTACCTGCTGAAAATGCTGCTATTGAGCAACAAATTGATCCTAGTAAATGGACAGTAACCAACATAAATATAATGCGCAAACAATTAAATGCTCTTAATTTTTCATTTGATTGGAACAGGGAAATTTCTACTTGTGATCCTGAATATTATAGATGGACTCAAGAATTATTTTTAAAACTCTTTGAAAAAGATCTAATTTATAGAAAAGAAGAATATGTTAATTGGGATCCCATTGATGAGACAGTATTAGCTGAAGAACAGGTCGATATAAATAATATTTCTTGGAGATCTGGAGCTAAAGTGGAAAAAAGATTATTAAATCAATGGTTTATTAGAACTACAGCCTTCGCTAAGTATATTAACAGTTATGATTATTTTAATAGAAAAAAAAATATGACAAAGTATAATATTTATGTCATATTACAGGTCATTATTGGATGGATTAAATGATCCAATATTGGAAGAGTGGAAAGATATTATAAAAATTCAAAAAAATTGGATAGGTGATTGTAATGGTGTAAGTTTTGATTTTAAGTTAGTTTCTGATATCTCAGAATTGCCAAAAATCATGAATCTATGGACTGATAAGCCAGAATTTGTCAAATTTGCAAAATTTGTTGTTATTTCTCCTAGTAATGCATTAAATCAACAACAATATTCTGAAAATGTTAATGCAACAACTAAAAAACTGAAAGCCACTGTAATAAATCCTTTTACTGAACAAGAGTTACCAATATTTATATCTGATGAATTGGTTTTTCCACCAAATAGAGAGAATTATCTGGGTATTCCTTCTGCTTCTATTGAAGATTACAAATTTGCAGAATCCGTGGAAATTCCATTTCAACGACATAATATACGTTCTCATGAAGAATTGCAGTGTGAACTTAATGAAATATTAATTAAAGCAAAAAAATGGAAAATTGGTGGACATATAGTAAGCTCCAGATTGAAAGATTGGCTGATTTCTAGACAAAGATATTGGGGCACTCCTATTCCAATTATACATTGTAAAAATTGTGGTATTCAACCTGTGCCACGTAATCAGTTGCCTGTTATCTTACCAAACATTAATTTTAATTTATCAGAAAAAAATCATTTTACTTTACTCGATGCCAAAGAATGGTTACAGACTGTATGTCCTAAGTGTGGTAATCATGCTATCAGAGAAGCTGATACAATGGATACATTTGTAGATAGTTGTTGGTATTTTTTAAGATATATTGATCCAAAAAATCAAGAAGAAATATTTTCCGTAGAAAAGGTCAAAAAAGCTTTACCTGTTGATTTATATATAGGTGGAAAGGAACATGGTATGATAAAATATTGAATTTGACATGTTTATTTATGCCCAATATATTTCTTTAGCTATTATATAATTACAGCTACGCTCCATTTATATTATGCTCGATTTATAAACCATTTTTTATATGAAGAAGGTCTTGTTCCTACTCGTGAACCATTTAAGCAACTCCTTGTACAGGGTATGGTAATGGGAAAAACTTACCAAATATCTAATACCGGACAGTATATAAAAGAAAGTGATGTAATTAAAGATGAGACGGATAACCAATATTATGAAAAAAATACCGGGAGACTTATAAAAGTTACTTGGGAAAAAATGTCTAAATCAAAATATAATGGAGTTGATCCTCTTGAACTTTTGGAAAATTATGGTGTGGATACAACTAGAATATTAATACTAGCTGATGTAGCTCCAACTTCCCACAGAAATTGGTCTACTGATAGTATGTATTTTAAATTAATATATATCATTCATTAATATAATTAGATCAAACAGTACAATTTTTTCTTAATAGATTTTTAAGCTAATGTTCAATAAATATTAATTGATGTTAAATAAGTACAAGGTATTACAATAATAGGATCTGTTGTATTTTGTATAAATTATAAAATAATTTATAAGTGCTTAACATTTTATTTATGTTTATTAGCAATTCGTGGTGTACAAAACTGGGAAAATCGTATATGGTTAACTCTGAAAGAATTTATCAAGATGAGGGAACATGTATCATTAGAAGAACTTCAAACACCAGTTACTGATCCTAAATACGTTAAGGATAATGAATTCATGTTTGATAGCAGAAATTATTTTTTAAAAATGGTAACCTTTAATATCATAAAATCGCAACAGATAAGTGTTGCAATATCTAGAATGCAAGGACTTACAAATAGGTTAGTCAATCAAATAAAAAGTTTTAATAATTAAATATAGTATATGTAATAATAAATTTTAATTATGATATTGTGAATTTTCAGTTTACGAAAAGTATGTAATGAGTGTAAATTAAAAAGTCGTGAATATGAACGGGCATTAGCTACACAAATAATTATGCTTGCGCCATTAGTTCCACATTTTGCTTCAGAATTATGGACTGCATTTTGTTCTATACCGCATCATCTTATAAATAAAGAGGAAGTGCTATTGGATAAAGATGTATTAGAGCAAAAATGGCCTGAAATAGATATGGACTATAAGATGAAAATGAATGTTTACGTAAGTTTATCATTTATTTTTGATATGTAACTTATATACGTGTGCACTCATGTACACTGCAAATCTATATTATAATATAGATTTTATAAATCAAATAAGTTTAAATTTATAATTTCCAATCTTATACAGGTCGATAAACAGTTGTTCATGGAAATAAAAGTTCCCCGCCATACTTTAGATAAATTAACTGTGCAAGAAGCTTCAGAATTAATAATGACTAAACCCTTTTATCAAAAACTTATACGAAAGCGTACAATCACAGATGTTAAGCTTCTCTCACAGATAGCTTGTGATGCAAATTTATATATTACTACAAACAAAATATTAGAGAAAATTTCATCTTAAGTGAAGTTGGCATAATTCTAAAAGATTATTATAACATGACAAAAATAATTAAAATGTATTTAATGTAAATTAATCGTATAAAAAACCTATTCCTTTATTATTAAATCTATAATCATGAGATTTTCAAATGATACCTCATTTTATTTACATAAAATAAAAATATGTGAAATAATAATAATAAAATATAAAAGTATGCTTATGTAAATTGATCCTTTTTCACTGTTATTAATCATTAAATCATTGAATACTTTTGCCTAAACTTAGTGTAATAAAATTAGTCAATATTTGAAGACAATGTTCCTTCTAATTTTTTTCCACCTGCTGTTTCTCTACGCATGGAATTGCTTAGTTTATAATGAACCATATTTTATAACTGCTCATATTTATGGCCTCTATTCTTCTTCAATTGCTATTAATTATAAAATCATTAAATTATTGTCTATACTCAATCTATTTTTTATTTAATAAAATTAATTTATATTTGAGAATCCCCAAATATTATAAACTATTTTTCGAGTTTAATATTTCTATTTTAATAGCCATTAGACTTGATATTGCAATGGAGTGCATATCATACAAAACATGATATACATTATATTGAAAGTAATATCCAATATCCAAGTCTCACCAAGTAAAGGGTTTTTTTTATACAATGAAAAATGCCGATAGTTTCAAAAGGAACTGAAAAAGGCCCGGAAAGGATCAAATATCTGCAAATAAACCAACGTAAGGGTCAAAAGACGTAGGATCATCTTGATCAAGTGGTACACAATGAGATATATATGTATATTACATTCTATAAAAAATGTAAAAAAAAATCGAAAGAATAAATTACAGAGGTGTATTTGCATGCCAGAAAACGTTCTGGGTAACAAATTTCTACCAAACAACTAATCAGAAAACAATAATTATAATTTATATATTTAGAAAACAATAAAAAAATTATTACAGAACAAATAATCAATAAAATAGGAATTTATTACTATCAACCTATTTGGAGGTAAAATAGGAATTTATTACTATCAATCTATTTGCAGGTAAAATAGGAATTTATTACTATCAATTTATTTGCCGGTAAAATAGAAATTTACTTTTTCCGATTAGTAATAGGTTAGACAAGAATCTATTAATACCAATTAATCGGTTGGTAATATTGAACTTTATTACTACTGACTAATTTGTCGGTAAAACAGAGTGTGTGCTTTTATCTATATGCATGTGTATTGCGTGCTTTTTTGATGTGTGTATGACTTTATTTCTGTTATTTTTATTTCTATGCATATGAACATTTTTTTTGCAGATGTACACATGAATTTACGCACATTGAGTAGTGATGTTGCAGATAGTGTGGAGTTTCCCGTGTGTCATATCCATTAAAAAATTTCTTTATATATTTTTCCTTTTTCCCACCGGACAGCCATTCAGTGTTACTTCGTGAGAGGAAAAATCCTTAATTATTGTACATATTATAAATAATACATTTATATATATATATATATATATATATATATATATATTTATTTCTTTATTTATACATATATTATAAATAATACATACACATACAAGCAAATAATATACATATTCTAATACTATTTACGACGAAAGTCGTGAAACAATTTAAGTAGCTATAAGTAAACAATATTTATTTTCCTTCTTTTTTCTATTCTTTTAAATTATAAGTTTGTCAAAGTAAAACTACTAACAATGGCACAAAGTACTGTTAATATATTGTACAAGGAAAATATTCTACTTGTTCCATTTCCTTTATTTTCATCTTTTCCTTTCGTTTCATTATCTTTAAAAGCTCTATTGATAGATTTCATTAATATGTATTCAATTCCGCAATTTCCGTGAAAATCATCGGTATCGATGCTCCAAACCATAACGCCACCTAAATTCATTGTATTGGCATATAATACCTAAAAATCACGCAGGGATCATTAAATTTATCTCTAAGTATAATATATGTATATATAATCAATTCACGATATTCATCATTACATATATATATTAAATATTATTATTTAATATATATATATATATATATATATATATATGTATAATTATATATATAAATAATTATATATAAATATTAAAATTCATTTTACGCATGAAATAAATATTATGAAATTGTTTAAAATTTACCTTCTCTCTTAAACTTTTGTGATTATCGTACATAATCACTCGGTTTTTATTTACCGCGTATAGTGTTTTACTATAAAGATCCCATCCAGACATCCAATTTGTATTTTTCAGTTCTGCACAGATCTATGCAAAAATACATATCAAATTGTTTAAATATAAAAGCAATATTAACCTTGTATTTAAAACGAATTAAATTATACATACTTCATTATAACCCATAGTTCCATTTACACCAGTATAAGGACCTTTAAAACCTTCTGATTCAAAGCGTTTTCCAATAGGAATTTCACCTGAAGTAAAGTTGTCAGTTAAAATATATGTTCGTCCATACATAGGTAAACCCAGAATGAGTTTTTCAGGTGGTGCTTCTAATTTTAGTAAATAGCTGACAGTAAAATCCTTAAAAAATGAAAAGAAAAAAATTCATACCGATAATAATTGATTTAACAGTATGAATATCAATGTCGTGTTATTAATCAAAATAAATCTTTATTTGAATGTTGACAAATTTTTTAAAAATAATAATGGAGAAGATTATTACTCACCACGCTTGCATTATCTTGACTATATAACGGAGCATTCGGAAAAATTTCTGAATCCCATGAACCATGATAATCATAGGCCATAATGTGTATGTAATCGAGGTATTTGGAAATTTTCGGAATGTCATATCCTTCGTCAATTATTTTCTTATTTGGGCTTATAGCTGAGGTTACTATAAAATTAGGTAATCCTTCTTTCAAATCCTATTAGGAAAAATATAAAACGTATGATATTGAAAGGATAGAAATAACATTTATAATAGTAGGTCAATATTATGTTATCTTATCAAATCTTGTTAAATTTCTGATGTGTTCTAACTAGTGTATTATATAAAGATAAAGGACTAGTATATCATATAATGATAAAAGAATATTTTCATTTATAATTAAAAACACTTATGAATTATGATCGTGCATTTATCGATTATATGTCAATTATGCATACTTATTGCAGAAAAAAATAGATTTTACTTTAACGAGTAAGAAGAAATTTTCTTTATCCTCCGGTTTACCATTTCCTTGCGAAGGAAATTCCCAATCTAAATCGATGCCATCGAATTTGTATTCTCTGCGTAAAAAAATGATACATATAGGTATATAAATAAGTATATAAATTAGGATATGACAAAGATGTAGCTAAGGATTATCAATTGTATACCTAAGAAATCTAAGAACACTGTTGACAAAGAGTTGTCGCTTTTCTTTATCAGAAGCAAGAATAGAATAGTTCCCACTACCTTCATTCCAACCACCGATAGCTATCGAAATTTTTAATCTTGGATATTGATTACGAAGAGCTGTCATTTTTCTGTAATTACCAATTCCTGAACAAATATATATTATTGTATTTATTATACTTATTTTTACATATTGTTGTTATTATTATGTTTATGTTTTTAGTTATATATATATATATGTATGTGTGTATATTATGTTTTATTCCAAATAAATAAATACCATCTTCCTCGATATCATTCCATCTATCAAGACTTTGTATTTCCCAAGTAGTCGTATTCAAACCCGCGAAAGCATAAATCAAATGTGTACAATGTTGTGGTTTAAGATTATCCAATGTAAATTTGCCATACGAAGGTCTATACTTTGCCCACGTAGCGACATAACAGGCAACGACCTTTCCGTGCGTTGGCGTCATGTGACCTAAGAATTGAAAAAAATATGATATAGTTATATTATTTTTTATTACACTTTTTATAAATAAGTTCTATATATTTACGAATTTTTATTAACACTTATATATTTTATCAAAGACAAATTTTATATATATAGATATCTATGTATATAATATGTTATAATAATAACATTATATGATTTGTTATTATTATATACATATGATAAATATATGATACATATAATTACAATAAATAAATGATAATAATAATAATGATCACATAAATCATGATATTTCCCATTTTGTAATTTCTTCTCTTCTGAATAGCCGCGAATAAAATATACAAAATCATCCTTGTTTATTGTACGGTCTTTTTTTTTTATTACACGTAAAATATTAAATATATAATTTTATTAAATATCAAGCTGCACTTTTTTTAAATTCAATTTATTAAAAGTGATCCATATAACTAATATGGCGAACAATCACGTTCTTTAAAGAATATATCTATTTGAATACAACGACTTAGAACTTATTAAAATGTCAGATTTGCCTTATTCATTGGTGCACGGAAAATGTCAACGACGTTTCGGACTTTCATTATTTTATGTCGACACTATTCACCTTTCTCTTTAAATTTCTCGACAGACATATCATTGAATATTGTTTATTAAAAAATAAACGCGATCAGAAAAATATTTGATTGGAGAAGAAGAAAGAAAAAAAGAAAGTGATAAAAATGTTGATGAAGGACATATTTTGTTCTCTACATTAAGAATAATTCATATTAATATCGTTCAAAACGAAAATTTCATATTGTTATGTTCTATTTCGAAATGTATGACTTTTCTTTGAAATAAAATTGTTTTATTGGAATAATCACAGATACCAGATTAAAGATTAAAAAGCGAAGAATATTAATTAAACAATTTTTGAAAAGGAACGGAGACAAATGAGCAAATAAAATAAGATAAAAATTTTTTTCGATAGAATCTAAGATAAATATTTTTAAAAATGTTATGTATTTTATTTAACTTACTTTGAATACTATTAATGTATAGAAATAATAGCATTAGAAGACATGACGTCAGATTCCTCATCGGATTCATCGTTGTATAGTATTTCAGATTACACACAAGTGCCGAGTACTGTCCCGTTCACTGTGACTTTCTCCTACGGATCCTCGTGCCGCACTGCTCTTAAAAGAGAAGTGAAAGATAAACTATCAAAGAAAAGGACGAAGATAGAACCTGTTGTACCGTTAAATATAAAAACGTACTTCAACTTTGTAATAAAATATAACTTAAAAATTATAGTATAAAAAATAAAATACGTAAATTATAAATACATAACAATTTACGATATAAATCGATTAAATATATATTTGATACTGATATTTATCTTTAAATTCTTTCCAAGATAATATTTTGTTGTATAAAAATTACTATTAAATATTCTAAATAATGTGTATATTTATGCGTATATAAAATATACATATGAATAAAAAATATAGATTTACTTGATTATTCATGATTTCAGGAATAATCTTTTATCCGATTAGATCAGAAAAGTCAGGATCCTCATAATAACAAAATGGAAAATTTATAAATTATAATGTTCGATTTACAATATAATTACAATGACTTTTAATCTGCCGCGTAAATGACGAAACATCATGGCTGCTATAATTTTATTGGCTATTAGCATCTCTCTAAGGCTGTTCACCACGTTTCATTCATAGCATATACGACTTCAGCGACAGGTATGAGCAAAATGCGGAGAATTACTATCACTAGAGAAGTATTATCTCCACTAGCCACCTGTTTTATCGGTGTATAATCTTGTGTAGGTATACTTCATTCATCCTGCAATCTAGTTAATATATGACAGATATTGTTGCATTTACTAAAAATAGTAGTACATCTGATAAAAGAAAGAAAAAATTATATGCCAGATTTATCTAGAGATTAATAAAGAAGTATTTGTTAAGATTGTTTATTAACTTTCGCTTGAAGTGTGTATGACTTCAAGAAAAGATACGGAAAAAATACGAACTATAAACGCAAGTTTAATTAAACACTTCACTATTCTGCGTCTATCATATCGGTGTATATTTCTTATGGCTTAATATAAAAGTTATATTCCTCTCACGTATAAATAATAGTCGGGTTTGTATGGATTAGAGTAAGTAATTTAGTAGACTATGAACTAGCACTTTTCAATCTCTCATATCTTTTATATTGTTTTTTGATGGGGGCATACGTTTCGTAATGATTCATGCTAGAAATGATGTCGGTACGTATTTGTTTCGAAAAAATTACATAGAGGATAATAAATATAATTGAAACATATAATAACTAGTATATAAATTTGCAACAGAAAATAAGATTTTATCAAATGTTTTATCAAAAATAATTATATAAGATAATATTATACTATTTTAATACAGATTAAAACGTAAAACGTATCTATCAATAGTTGGTCATAATAATAAATACACAATTTATTTATTTATTAGTTCGCACGAAAGACCATTTTTTTTCTTTTGTTATTATAAATTACCATCATATATAAATGTGATGTATATAATATCAGTATATTCTTCTACTTCTTCTTATCATTGCCCTCATTACCATATTATTATATTATATATTATTATTACAATAATAGTGCGTATATATATAGTCATGAAACGTATTTCTTCTTTTTGAAACGCGTTTAAAATTCAGAAAATCTATGCATCATCAGTATATATGCACACGACAAGCAGGCAATCGTCTACTCCACGAAACAAAACACACACCATATAATGATATATATATGAATTTCGTGTATATAAATTCAGTAGTGGGAGTACGAGCTTCTTTTTTGCCGTAGATTTCGAGGAAGGCCACTGTACAGAACTTTTTCTGAACAGACAATAAAATAAGTCAATCAATTTTAACATAATAAGATAATCGATTTTCAGCATTAAATATACTAATTAATATTCATTTCATTCTTTCGGCGAATTTATATCATTCGTTCGCAAAATAATCATTATATGTGCGAAGATTATATTATTTTTTTGTTATGTTAGAAATATATTAAAATTGCGTTATGATTCTAGGTTTCTTTTGTATTTTAATCCAGAGCAAAAAAGAGGTAATATGCCTCTACAAATTGTAGCATAAGAAGGAAATTATATGGTATTGAGATATTTCCAACCAAGTAAAATATCAGAAAGAAGATTTCAGTTTTACCAATGATTGATGAAGTAAATTCTTTTGCAACCGATCAATGGTAAATATATCCCTAGTTTTACCATCAGTTAATAAATGAGGATCTCTGCTTTATCGATGGTCGATAAATAAATTTTTTCCTTAGTGTTCATAGTTGAGGTTTTAAAGTAGATCTCTTTGTCACCGACGGATTCTTTTTTATTCTGATCGATAGTAAAGACAGATCTCTGTTTTCCAATTACTTGGCAACGAAAAATTCCTGCCCTACTGACAGTTAGAACACGTCGGTAAATTTAATATTCCTAGTTTCGCATCAGTCGATAACAAAGATTCTTATTTCATACGATTGGTTAAGTAGATTCCTGTTTATCATCAGTTTGTAATTAGATTCCTGGTTTATTGATCATCATCAATAGGTCATTTGTGCATCGGTTTACTTATCCAAGCAAGGAAACCTTATTTTTATGTTTAAATTATTCTCAAAAAACACAATTTTTTAACATGATTCTTTTCAAAGAAAATTATGTTTTTTCAAATATTCGAGTAAGTCATTTTCGTGTTTAAACCTTCATCTTTAAAATAAGATTATGTTCATCATAATGAGTCAAAAATTACTCCTTTACTCATTTTTGGCGTAAACCATTATAGAAGCATAGATAATGAACAGCCTTAAAGTTATAAAATATATTTACAAGTAGTGAATATTTAAAAAATATTTTATTCCATTTTATCTTATTTATGATTCTTAATTTACATTAAGGAAAATTACAATATCTCCATGTATCGTAAATATTTAAAAAATTTATGAACTTCTTGACTTTAAAAGTGCAGTATGGTAGTTGAATCATATGTGATCAGTGCAGTATGGTAGTTGAATCATATGTTACAAAATGATTCACTGATTTTTACTTACAGAGTTATTTTAAAGTTTATTTACTTGTGATAAAATGCCTCTTATTATAATAACTGGTATTCCTTGTAGTGGTAAAACTACAAGAACATTACAACTAAAGGAATATCTTGAAAACGAAGTGAAAAAACGTGTAGATATAATTACTGAAATTGACTTCATATCTAAAACAGGTTATGATAGAAACTCATTTTATTCTGGTTAGTAAATATTAGAACATTTTGACTTTCAAGATAGTTTACTTTTTTTATGAAAAAATATATTCATATGTATATATATGTACATATGCATGTTTCAGATTCTAAAAATGAAAAATGTATAAGGAGTGATATAAAATCCATGGCACAAAGAATATTAAATCCAAATGATGTATTAATAATAGATGGTAGCAATTATATTAAAGGATATCGCTATGAAATATATTGTATGTCAAAATTATATAAAACACCACAATGCACCATACATTGTGATATACCTATTGAACATGCTTGGTTATGGAATGAAAAAAGACCAGTACCAGAACAATACAGCAGAGAAATATTTGATGGACTTGTAATGAGGTAAAATGATAATATTGAAGTATATATTTTTATAAACCTAATAAGAACGTAAATAATAGGTACGAAACACCAGATAATAAAAATCGATGGGACGCTCCATTATTTGCAGTGATGCCAGAAGATGATTTAAAATTTGATGATATTTATAAGTCTCTTTATGAAGTTAAAGCACCTAAACCAAATCAAAGCACACAATGTGTCAGTATTTTTAACATTCAATTAATTTAATTATATTTATTGCAAATTCATATAACTAATGATTATTTTGTCATAGCCACCTTTATCGTCTACAAATTATTTGTATGAACTGGATAGAATAACGCAAGATATCACTAACGTAAGTTTATTGACATTTTTAAGTGAGCAATTTAATATTTAATATTTGTATGTGTATAATATATATTTTCTCATTACATATATAATTTTCTCTTTATAGGCAATATTATCAGCAAAACAATTAGGAATTGAAAATGATATAAAAATTCCTCAATATGGCTTAACAGTACAAAAAACAGGTAATACACCTCAAATGATGAGACTACGAAGACAATTTTTAACATATAGCAAAATGCATCAAATTAATATTAATCAAATAGCTCTACTATTTGTACAATATCTTAATAAAAGCTTATAATTTTAAAACTGTTAATATTATTTTCTGTTCTTAAAGCATTTCTATTTAATTAGATATTATAAATGTACCTAAAGGTATATAGTAATTTCTATGGTCCAAATTGGTAATTTCTGCTATATGAAAGGTTGATACATATTGACAAATGATCATGTAGAATAGACTTTAATATAAAATTATATTAATTACATTATTAAATCTAAACTAACTTACATCTAAATTGATCTACATTTATTCCATATAACAAATTATTATTGCTGACTTTTCAAGACCTTAAAAATAGCAAAACAAATATGAAGTCGACTTAAAATCGACGATTATGTTCGGGTAATTCTTCAATTATGTGCAAAATATGTGAAACTATAAGCATGCAATAAGGAAGAATAATGGAAGAAATTTTATAATTATTTTAATAACAATAAATATAGATTTGTAATTTTGTATTGAACTTAGCAATACATGTTCATTATATTCATTTCTTTTTACATACTTTATAACAGTCTTATTTTTTATATTCACGATTTATATTTATTTTAGATTTCTTTATTTAATCTTTAGGAAAAAATAAGTATTATTAAAACAAAGAATTATAATTATACAATAAAAATATCCGAAAGGCACTGCTGCAGAAGATCGATGTAAAGCTTAAGCAAAGTCAGATTTATAATATTGAAATTCGCATTTTTCCTCATGATGAAATATAATATATATTAGATATGTTATCTCTCAAAGTATTTTTTAGATTTATTAAAAATAACACGACGGATAATTGTATTATATTTTATGAAGGTTCAATGTGTTGGTAGTTAGAAAATTTTGGTTAATATTCTTATAATAGAAAGATACAAAAAGAAACGCTTGAAAAGTATTTACTTCCATATTTGCCATTACAAAATTATATATCTGAAGAGAATAACACATATAACGAAGTAAAAACTTTCAGTGATCATTTATATATCATTTTCTATACATGCTTTTTACAATATTTTTGAAAGGAACTAATGATAATATGGAAAAATAATACATATTCATAAGCTGTAGTTTCTTCTCCGATGAAACTTTGTCTGTTCTTTTAATAAATTTGATTTTTAACTTGTCTTCATTATTTGAAAAATGACCAAGGATAAAGAAAAAACTAAATAAGGCTTCGTTAGCACCTGTAAAGATATGTCATTAGCATTATCACTAACGTTAGTAATCGAAATATTCCCAACTAAACAGCAGGAGAGAGCAGAAGAGGAAATGGTCATATATTACATTGTCATAGCTATTGGTACATGATGGAAACAAATAAACGTTAATTATTATGCTAGATCACAAATGTAAGACTCATTAGGGAAATTGTCAAATTGTTACTAAAAGTTACTGATTTATGAAGTTATTAATTATTTAGTTTGGTACTACGAAAGGAACTTGTATATGTCAAAAATTTTGTTTTCAGGGAATATAGAAATAACACTTATTTGTATCCAAATAAGCTTTTGAATCACAGAAATTGTTTTACAATACCAGAAATAAAATATGTTATGGTTGTCTTTGAATTTGCTCGGTATAAATTGGAGTACTTTAGTCCTTGTACAATTCCACCAATTTTCCTCATGAGTAAAACATGTTAGATTTGTCAATATTTAATTTTCTTGTTCTTGTATGCCATTGCTTTCAGCACCATTTTGATGACCCAATATATTAATATGTCTTTTAGGTTTCCGACATACAAAATACACACTATTATACTCGCATTGTAACATACTATTCACATTTTGCGCATAGCGTGTTTTCATGTGTGTTTCTTCTTTCTAAACAATAGTAAACATAGATATAGATATAGTTGATATTATATGTATATCTTCTACAAAAAAAAAAAAAATTACCTCAAGATGAAAACCGAAACCTTGTATAACATCACGAACTGCATCATAACTTGGTTCTATTGAATCTTCCATAGGCATGTCACTAAAATGATACAGCAATGGACCAAGATTTATCCATACTCCTCCTGGTTTTAAAATTTTATAGATGGTTTCTATAAATTGTACTACATTATTTGCACAATCTATAAAGAAACACGTAGCAACACAATCCCAATGGTCGTCTTCTGTATAAACCTATAATTTATATTTCTTTTAATTTATTTAATCTTAAATAAGTATTATTCTTTAAGTAATATAAAAGAACATTACCTCTAAGAAATCTCCTGCTGTCATAGAAAATTGTGCATTTTCTGGAAGATCACTGGGATTTACGTCAGGGAAGAAAACAGCTTGTGTTTGATGTTCTGGTTTTAAATTGTTCATATATTGATGTACCCATGGATGTACTTGATATGAATTTATACCTCTGCATCTATAATGTTCATTTTCATCATTATTATTATTATCATCATGTTATCATTTGTTTTTCTTATTTAACTTATCGTGATAAGAATAAATTTATTACAATACTTACTTATTTAATACGAAATGTGATGCAAAGAGCATAAAGAGAGAAAATTCGTTCCCTTGGCAAGTATAACCACGCCTTGCAATTTCATACGCAAGACGACCCAATCCTGCACCAGGTACTAGAATTTGCACTTGTGATGGAGTACTGGAAATTTACCTATCATTTCATATTTTTCTGAACTATGTTTAGCTAGGACACAGAGGTTTTGCAAATAATGATATCTAGATTTTGTACACGATAATTGTAACTTTAAGTGGAATCTGAAAGCTTGATCATAGATTGCTTGTATTCTTAAATATTATGACATTATTAAGATAAAATCTACCAATATGTATTAACATATTGAAATAAAGTAGACAAAATATTCGTACCATTTATCTAATGGAAATTGATTTGTTATTTCATCTATGATAGGCTGATAGCAAGCTTTACGTTCTTCAGTTCCTTCCAAGCTCCAGTCGCGAACTAATTGTTTAATAGTAGCTTGTACTTTTTCTTGGTCAGCCAATACAGGTCGGGTGTTTTGTGTCTGCAATCAGACCTACCTATAGAATATATCTTTGTGAAAATAAGCTTATTAGTGATATGTTTTATAAATTAATTTTATATTTCAAGAGTGCAGTTATGGATTATATTCTATAATAATGAAAAGTGAAGAGTATTTTAACATTTTTAACTGTTAATTTTAGTATATTATACATAACATTACACATATCATACAAAATAAATCAAACATGCCACAAACCAGGTAAAGTTTTCTTACACTGTCATTTTGTGCACTAGCTGGGCTCACATTTTCAAAAATATGAGCTACATCCTTTATGATGAGTCTTATTATATCGTTGTTATATTCAATACATCTCTTGACTTCTTGAAGATGCTCTTTATATTTGGATAATAGTTTCTGATGATGCACCGGTAAGGATAATAGATAAGATTCTGTCTTCTTAACTCTCTGCAGGGAGTGAGATCTATATAAAAACATTTTGTTTTCTAAACTTATTTTGTATTTTACTTTGATATTGTTGTATGCGTATGTATGTGCACACGTGTATGTAGTATATATATATATATATATATATATATATATATAGTGTGTATATATATATATATATATACAATCACGTAAATGTTTATCGAACGAAGGATATAAGTATTAATACTAGTACGAAATTGTATTTAATAGCTAATGAACTTATGAACCTGACAAGATAATACTCGAGCCATTGTACTTTTATTGGAATAACAACGTTGATCCATAAACACTGATGACATAACTTGCGTACGAGTATGAGTTTAATATATAACAAGAGAAGAATTAATACAGTATGAAAGCTCTTGTTAGACTAATACTTATCTATTAAAGGTTAAACAACGCAAGAAGATAGTATTTAACATAGAATATCATACACGCTGAAGAACGAAAATCATTCAATTAATCGTGGTCATATAAGAAAAAAAAATGAAGGTAATAGAAATAAGGTTAAATCATCAAAGCAAAGATCACAAATGAAAAGGAACATTGGTTGCTCTTTCGAAGGAGCCTACTCACTTATAGTGCCTGAACGCTGAAACAATACGTTGAAAATGTTTCCTCTCCTCTTCATCCTCGTACGAATCGTGAACTTTTTTCGGATATGCATTGTGCATCGATTCCATTTTTATACTCGCACACGTAGGCCCTACTTTTTCCTAATTAGCCTTTTAACACGATGTTCGGTGGCGGCTTCCTCGGCACAAGCGTTACACCGAGTTTCCAAGACGGCAGCGAGATTAGTTTTAAGGCTGCACCGATTTCATGCGCGACGACAAACCGTGTCCGTGCCAATAATATACTATTGTCACTATGACGAAAGCATCGTCAAATTCTCGTTAAATCAGACGATCTTGGTTAGGCCAAGAAAATTTTTTCTTACAAATTATTAACCATTATCAAGATATAATTGAAATTTTCATGAAGTAAATTACTATCGATCGAACTTTACCGTTCGTTATCTATCTAAATCTCTTCGATATTAATTATATGAAATAAACAACGATATATTTTATAATAGTATAGATAAGATTTTGTTATTGCGGAAATAAAGTATAAATATAGATAGAATCTTTACGCATATGTATTGCACGAGTACCGTGCCAAATTTATAATCGATTCCTAAGATAATATTTTGATCGAGCTTTATAAATTAACTGCTTGTCAAAAAAGATGTTTGAAAACTAAAACGTTATTTTTTTCGATTTTGATTCTTTCGATTTTTCTTAATGACTATTTGATTTATATATATTCGATTCGAAAAAATCAAAAAATAGTAAAAGAAAAGAAAATGATGAGAAGAAAAAGAAAAGATAGTAGTATGAAAGTCGCAGTGCCGGTGACCGGCGCAGATATCGCATATCTGCAGAACATCTATAGTCGTTGCGGCTCGCAGGTGGGACATGCTCCCGTACGCCATTTTTAAAAGGAGCTCTCAGTCGCTAATCAGCAGTCGCGCGGCAGAGTGCAAAAGTAACATTGGTTAATAGCGGCTTTCTCGTTAACGAGACTTTTACGAAAATTTATTTCTTTTATCGATATTGCGAGTGAGAAAATCGTTTGATATTTCCTTGATACATTTCGCGATGACAACGGCGTGATTTAAGGAACGTGCGAATCGTGAATCGAAGTGCGTCGGTAGTTCCTTTATCTGTCGCGACTGGGATTTGGTCGGTGGTCGGTGTAAGTACGATCGAGTCTGATCACTCTCGTCAAACCGCGCGATTTGGAAAGAGAAAGTAGATAGCTAGTGAAAGAAGGAAAGACAGGGATATCGAAAAAGACAAAGAGAGACAGAGGAAAAGGAGACAGCAGATAGTATAGACCCTAGAACCAGAGAACCATTACTACACAAAAACAGGCAGCATGTCCAGTGCGCCGCAAGTTTCCAGCGGGCTTAGCAAGCTCAAAAAAAAACATTTCCGCGTGAAGCATCAAAAGGTTAAACTCTTTCGTGCTAATGAGCCGCTCTTAAGCGTCTTCATGTGGGGTGTTAATCACACGGTAAGCGTTCATCATCCTCGTTCGTTTGAGAGAGAGAGAGGGAGGAGAAGGAAGAGAGAGAGGAGAAGAAGAGAGAGAGAGAGAGAGAGACGTGTCGCATTTATATGACAGCACGTCGTATTGTACGTCATCGCGATTGCCATTTTCTCTATTTATTCCATCGACATGATCGGCAATCCTTAATGAATGTTTAATAATGTTATTTTTTCATGAGATTTTCATTTTCTTCCAAGCTTCGTACAGCGCGCTATTTCGGATTGTGCAAGACGACGTCACGCTCTGAAAAAAATGAAATTTTATCGCACGAGTATTCTTGCACGTTTCGCCGATCGAATTTATCTCTTTACTTACATTAAATTACAAATTATGTTTATAGATCGACTTAGATCTAAAGTTGTATATTGTTTGATATGCCGAGACTATTTTTTGTTAAATAGTACTACTATTGATACTATTACCTTTGTTACAGGTATTACTATTTTGAAGTAATATTTATTTACATTTAAGAACAGTGCAATCCATTGCATAACATTCCTTGATATTTATTTTAAAAATTTAAATTATAGAAATTTTTCATGGTGGATATTAGAATAGAAATATATCTTTTTTATACATAGATATTTAACTATGGGTAATGACATTTGTATACACAGATGTCATTACCTATAGTTGTCTCATTACATGTGGATAAGCCTATAAAAATTACAAATGATATTATACATATATGCAATATGCATTAAATATTTGAATATAATGCTTTCTAAAGATGCTATTTAATATTATAGTTTATAATATATAGAATATGAATTATTTTCTTTCTTATAATATTACTAATTAATATTCCATTCTTATCATTACAGATAAATGAACTTAGTCATGTTAATATACCGGTAATGCTCCTACCAGATGATTTCAGAGCTTATAGTAAATTAAAAGTAGATAACCATCTTTTCAACAAGTAAGTCTATATTTTGATTTTATATAAATATTATAATTATTATATATTAATTATGAAAACATCTTTAAGGAATATTTTAAAGCATGAAACATCTCAGATTATATATATTAATAATTTATATATATTTTATTTAGTATTAAGTATTTATATGTCTTATATTACATTCAAGTGTCTTTGATATTTTCAAGCAATCATTACTCACAACGTTCATGAAGTATCATTAATGTAAATTTAAAGCATGCCAGTCGGCTAGTCCATTCTAAATATACCACTTAATATTAGATTGGTAGGTTGGTCACAGCAAACCAGCCTTTAATAATAGAATCAATGAAGGTCTTTCTATGACCCAGCATTGTATTAGTAAACAATGCAGGTATTGATTTTCTTTCAAATATTTTATTATATCAATTTCTAATTGCAGAGAAAATATGCCCTCTCATTTTAAGATCAAAGAGTATTGTCCATTGGTATTCCGTAATTTGCGTGAAAGATTTGGCATAGATGACTTGGATTATAAAGAGTCTATGACAAGGTAATATAAAGAATAATTCAATTTTAAATTATATACTATCATTGTGGCTACCATAATGTGTAATTCTACTTCACATAAAATCAGTTATTATTTTATTACATAAATAAAATTATGCGATAACTTTTATAAATAGCAAACAAGCATTTGAATTTTGTGATGTAAAGTATAAACATTGGTTATTGGTTCATATTGCACGTTCACAAGAGAACAACTTGTTTTTTCGTTTTCTTTAAACAAATTGCCACTGATAAAATGAATGTACTCTTTACTTTGCATGTCAGATACTATGTTTACTTATTTGTTGGTGTAGTATCTTTCTAAAAATTGTAATTTTGAGAGAAAATAATCTATCCATACTTTGTTATTATGTATTCATTTTTTTATTTTATACAATTATTGAGATAGTGTTATTTGTTGAAATACTTGAAATAAATTAAATTCTCTCAAACATTAACCATTGTGCTTTAAAGATCTTTGTTTGTATGTTTGTCTTTTGCTAGAAATAAGAAAGCATGTATGTTTTAGATATTGGTATTGTCAGTAATAATATATTGTTTAAAAATCTTTTGTTTTATATTTTGTTTTTTGTCATTATTGCAGATGTAATAGTGGATAATAAGATAATAATATTATCATTGTAGACATTTTTAGATATTTTAGATATTCTTAGTTTAGTGTAAATAACTTATATACAATTCTCTATTTGTAAAGCAAAGAATACAGATTTTTCATACGGAGATCATGTGACACATGGAATCATACTTTCCTGCATCAACCAAAAGATAATTGGTAATAAATAGTATGTCTTGTAATACAAAAATTTTGCTAATAGATGTCGAGCATATAATCCTTCGCGACGTTCGGGTTTGGCCAAACTCAGTGGGAGGACTCATCAATTGGTTCAGCGTTCAGCTACTGCTCCCTCAATAAACTTTACTCCTCCTCCTTTTGTATCTCAAATTCCAGTCTTAAGTAAACCACTACGTACCTACAGTTTTAAACCAAAACGCTTGAGGTTAGCCAGACTTGATTTCCCATTTTGTGCGTGTCTTGTGGTTAACACAATTTGATGAGTTTCTCTTTGACGACAGAGATTCGGCACGAACTTTAAAGTTGCATTAATTATTTTTTTAGTCCTATTTTTATATGATCTAATAAAAGTATATTAACATTATTCTTCGAATACAAATTCAAAGAACTAAATTTTGTTTAAATTAAGCATGTGTAAAATTGAAGTTTTCAGGTATATATTACAATTTTGATTTTAATTTATTAAAATATTTGAAAAATCTTACTGTAACCTATATAATATGAAAATATATAAATATGAAAATATTTTAGTTAAATCAAATAATCGTATAGTCAATGTCGTTGGAATGTACTAAATTCTATTATGGTTGTGCAATATATATTTGAAATTTGTACAAGTAGCTACAAATTGATATGGTTTAATAAATAATCTATTTTTATGAAGTAATGAATTTGTAATATGGTAATAATTCATTCTATGTATTATTTGGCTTTCCAAGTTTTGCTTTGTGCACTGTTTGAATGTTTGTTTGCTTGGTTTTATGTTCATATAATATGATAATAACTAATTTATTTGTATTGCCTTCTATGTATTTAAGATTTTACTTCTTTTATGTGTAGAAAATTTCTTTATCTTATTTATTTTAGTTTTATTAGATTTTATTTTATATAGTTTTATTAAATTACAGATCAATAGCAGATATATTAATATGCTGTATAGCTTTGTATCAAATATATTGAAAAAAATAAGATACAATATTACAAAAACATATAGTTGTATGAATTAGATTTATTTTATTTTCTTTTTCACAGATCACAACCTATACTTGATGATTCATCAGGTAAAAGTGGTGCTAAATTTTATCAATCTTATGACAAACTATTTATTATCAAAACTCTTACAAGCGAAGAAGTTGAAAGGATGCACTCGTTCTTAAAACATTACCATCCAGTAAGTAGGCTATTTTTTCAACTTCATTATGATACAAATGCAATTTACTTTATATGAAATTATTTCTTAGTATATTGTGGAACGACATGGAAAAACCTTACTACCACAATACCTTGGCATGTATCGATTAACAGTGGACGGTGTTGAACATTATGTTGTTGCCATAAGAAACGTGTTTTCTAATCATTTAACAACGCACAAAAAATTTGACCTGAAAGGTTCAACTGTAGATCGTGAAGCATCTGATAAAGAAAAGGAAAAGGATCTTCCTACATACAAAGATAATGATTTTGTTAAGGAAGGAATGAAAATTTACATAGGAGAAGAAGCAAAAACAAAACTTATAGAAACTTTAACTGCTGATGTTGATGTGAGTATATTATTAATTATATATTATTTTATGATTAAAGTCTTCATGAAATAATTATGTTACAGTTTCTAACAAGATTACACTTAATGGATTATTCCTTACTACTTGGTCTACATGATTGTGCTCGTGCAGAACAAGAAAATAGAGAACGTGCAGAAAGAGAAGAGGATGAAGATAATCATGATGAAGAAGATGACAGTGAGTCTGGTAGTGGATTAGATTCTCGAGGCCCAATGGGAGAGTAAGTTATTTACTAATTACTTAAGCATATTTATTAATTATGTTATAGATTAAAATTCATCTAAAATGTTAAATCTTTTATAATATTATAAAATATTATTTTTATTTCTTTCAGTCGTCTTTGGGGTTGGAGTGGAGTTACAGGTATGGCTACACCACCAGAATCACCTCATGCAGCATTAGTACGTGATACGAGCCTTCAATACGAGGATGCAATAATACCTGAACTAGATATATATGCTATTCCTAGTAAAGAAGGTAAAACTAAAAAAAAAAAAATAAATAAATAAATAAAAGATTTTTCTTTTTTCATTTTATGTATCTATGATTACTCTAATATCTTTAATTTTATTTTCTAGGTGCCCCTACAAAAGAAATATACTTTTTGGCCATAATCGATGTTTTAACGCATTATGGTGTACGTAAACAAGCTGCAAAAGCAGCTAAAACAGTGAAGTATGGTGCCAATGTGGATGGTATATCAACATGTGATCCTGAACAGTATGGTAAACGATTTATAGAATTTATGAGTAAAGCCATAGAATAATTTTACTATTTTCTATTATGGAACTTGTAAAGATGCATAAAGAATCTAAGGATCGTGAAGGTACTACCCGCTTACACTTTTGTTTTAGTAAAATATGACAATGAGAAATATTATCAAAGGTTTCACTAGTAAAGTTCACTTACAGAATGCGACACCAAGTGCAGTCCTTAAAATGCCTACAGTTAGAGTAAAACGTCATTATTTTTCTCTGCACAATTTAAAATGGCGAATTTATTCTTAACTGGTATTCATTGACACATTATTTTGTCACGTAAAATTATTTTAACCGTTGAATTTTTGCACGAACTTTGTATGTCATATAAATAATATTATTCTTAAGCTTAAGCTTATTTTTTGACTGAGTCCGTGCTTTAACTAATATGGTTATGTTTATATATTGTATGTACAGAGACTTTTACAGAGAGAGAAAAAAAAACTTTATAACATAGGAGTTTTTTCATATACTTTTAATCCGCTAATTTTATAACTAAATAACAATGATGCTGAATAAAGCATTCAATATAGTTTATAGAATTGAAGTTGTAATAAAATATGACACATGGATTTAAATTTTAATTGTTTATGAGTGTATCATGTGTATTCCATTAGATGGGATATACTTACAAACAATAAGAACAAAAATATAAATTGTAAATGTTAATCTACCGTCATTGGTATACATAATGCTTTACAAAAGCTATGATAATTATTGTAAAGGGCAACAGAATTATGGTATTAACAAGTTATAGAGAAAAATATCCAAAAATAATGTTGATGTTATATGTAATAGTACTCAAGAAGGGTATAGTTAAACATTCTGCAGAGACTTACTCACGGTAAGTTTCAAGAAATCAGTAAAACGATTGTAGCGTTTTTGATTTCATTATTGCAGGACTGAGAGTGAGAATTAAAATATTTAAAGTAAGACATATGATTGGAGGAGTATTCCAATGCGTTTTTCATTTTGGTAGTGTAATAAAGAGAATATAAAATAATATATGTGCAGAAAACACTATACATAAAAAGGCTTAAAATTAAATACATATATAAATATAATAAAACTGAGTAAATGTTATAAAATCTGTAAATCTCTAATTTCGGTTATATACTGTATATTGTGAAGCGATTTTATGTTTGGAAACATATTCGCTTAGCTCGTCGAAAATCTAATAGGGAACAAAATCAATTATATTATGTACCTATGATGCGCGCGATATATGTCTCCTTTAATTTTTGGCGTTGCTTACTACAAAAAAGGCAATGCCATGATAAAGCATCATTGTGTATGGATAGTCATTGCAGTTATACACTTTTTGCTTTAAGTATTGTTAATGCTATTTTTGCAAGTTTCTAAGTAACCGGTAGCACAAGAGATTACTCTACAACCCTTTAAGCATAAATTGAACTAATATTTTACTTAAGTTTTTCCAATAAATGTCGTTTACTAGTTCATTCGCATTTGATATAACTATATCTACTGCATGAAAGAAAGTGCACCGTTGAATAAGACTATCTTTAAACGATTTAATAATCGATTTTTATAATTTGTTAGGATTGATCAAGATATAACAACTAATTACTTTACCAATTAAGATATTCATCTAGTCTCGATACTTTATATGATTTTATACATTGTCAGCACATTAAGAAAATAGAGGAGATAACAAAATTGAATCATATTTGACAGTAACTACATTATACAATATCATTTGATATGATACGCTCAATTTGTAGCATATAGAAATTGTATCATATATATATATTGAATTAAATTTTTATTACAGCTTTTTCATTATAATGACACTGTTTTAAAAAAAATGTTTACTGCAAATATGCTTCCACAAATCACTGCTCTATAGGATTTTTTCCATACTCTTTTTCTATGAGGTATTTCACATAACTTGCAAGATACTTTTGTATTTAAATTATATTAATGAAAAATACTACATTAATATGTTAAATTTACCTTTTCATAAGCGGCACTGTATAAAAATTATGTATATATTCAGTATTTTGTTGATGGCAATATATTCCAAGTTCTGTTATTATAATTGTATTTTTCACTTAAAATGTCTGTTGTATAAGCTTTGGGGAAATAAGTGGAGACCTAAAATCCATAGAACTCGAATAAAGACACATTATTAAAAAAGAATACCTTGTAACATTTTTTTTATTGAAGATAAAGAAATAAACGAATTCATTATTATAGAAGTTTTCTTTAAATCGTTTTTTCCATTAAAAGAAAGTGAGCATGTACAGATTAGTCTTAAATTATATCCAGATCTAGTAATGCTCTTAACATATATTGCACAAAATCAAATAAACCATCTTATTTGCAGAAACAAAGTATTGATGTTAAATTTCTAATGATAAAAACAACGTATAGACTTTTACTGAAGTATTATACAAAAACATATTTGTACTTCTATACAACAAAAGCAAAAAAATAAAAAAATAATAAAGAAAAAACATTTTATACTAAATGTATACTAAAAAAATAACAAATATTGCAGAAATCTAAAATTAAATGTATTGAGATAAATTTTTATACGCGAAGTTTTTTTGAACCAGTCTCAATGGATAAACAATTATCTGAAGAAGTCACTTTATCCTTGCTTCGAGGACTTAAAGTGACACTACGTTTTCTTGTAACAGGTGATAATTGTTTTAAATACTCCATGTCGCTAAACACTACTTGAGCACCACCGCCACATGTTGGTAATATATCACCCTAAATTAGAAAATCAGATTAATGAATATTCAAAAAAGAAATAATATTGTGGATTTTTATCTAAATTATATACAATAAATAACTTTATGAACCTTGTATAACTTCGTTTCTAGTTCACCTTCTTCATCTTGATTTTGAGATATAAGACAGTATCGAGATGCTTTGTTCGTGATATCTTTTGGATCTGTTAAATGTGTAACACTTCGTTTACGATGCATTACAGGTTGAAGTATTGTTCCAACTGGCACCATTGGAGGAGGTCGATGATCAATCCACCTGTCAACACTTTGTGATCGCCTATATCGCGGATTAACTACTGGAATTCTTTCCTAAGAATATTTAATATTTCAAATTAAAATTATATTATTCTAACATGCAACTAAACATAATTATGGGATTCTTTTCTTAGTTAATGTATTATCATAAACATTGAAAGTACTATATACTTTTGTATTAACATCTCCACTCTCAGATTCCAACATTTTTGCTAACGTTTGGACCGTTGTTCTTGGAATATGATCTACAATTGTAGATTCAGAAGTAACATTAACTGTGCTTGATGTGGCAATGTCAGGAATATTAAGCGTAGTTACTGGTATAAATTCTTTATGAGGAACTGTTACATCAGTCGCATTATCATCCACCAATATTTGTTTAACTAATTTTAACTTATCTTCTTTTTCCTTCATTTGGTTCTATAAATGTTACAATTATACACAACATCTAAAATCGACATAATTCACAATGCAATATTATAAAAATGTTATTTATATATCTTACACACTTGTAAAATTTCTTTTTGTTGTTGCAATTTTGTTTCCAATTCTTTATTCATTTTTGCTGTTTCTGCTTGAATTTTACTATTGTACTTTTGCTTTACTCTTTGCTTATCTATTAATCGTTGATTGAGAGACATGTCCTTATCTCTTAACTAAAAGAAAAGATACATTTTTTTTATCAAATATAAATATTTTGTCATTTGTTCATGGATTTTATAATATTTATATCACCTCTTGTTGTAAATTTCTGATGGCATCATTTGCACTGTTCAATCTATACAACAAAGTATCGATCTGTTCTTCAGTTTTACAAACGAGATTTTCCAAAATAGATATCTATAGTGTTAAAAAATAATATACATATATAAGTTTTCTTAATATAAATTTTTGTAAGAAAAATAATAAGTTCTATATACTTTTTCCTTTTGTTGTTCATTCGATGCTTTCAATGTTGCATTTTCAATTTTTAGGGAAACATTTTCTCGTTCCATTTTTACTAGCATATTTCTAAAGTTGTTTTCTGAAAAGAATTTGTATAATAATTTTTTTTATAATTCTAAACATTTTTTATTTAAGAACATACGCTTTTGTTGCAAATCTCCTCGTAATAAATTTCTCTTTTGAATACGCAATTCCAGAAAACGCATCAAATTAGTGATCACTTGATCATTATGTGGATTTGTCATCTCCATGTCTGGAAAAGGGCCACCAAGGCTAAAATGAAAGTATACTTTTATACTATAATATTCTTATTTAATTATTATATTATGGTGTATTAAACTCTATATGTACCTGTATACTAATCCTATATCTACTTCTATGTCAGCTGCATCAGCATTGCCTGCTTTTTCTAATCTGCTTCGTGCTTCTTTAAATATCTAAGAAAGAAATTAAGATTAAAACATAAAAGTATATACTTAAATTGATAAGTAATATTTTAAATATGATTTGATTTTCTACCTTATTCATTTGTCTTCGTCCAGGAGTATAGCCTAAATCTAATTTGGAAGTTACAGATCGTGCGACTTGAACTTCCTGAGTTATTTCTGCAAATTTCATTGTTTGCTATTCAAAATAAACAAAAAATTTAGTTTCTTTCTTTTCCTTCTTTAAAAATCAGCGTATCATTTTATTCATTTTTCAAAACTTACTATTGTTTCATCATAATCTTCTGCTCTTGGATTAACACATACAATCATTCTAATTTGTCCTTCACCATCAAAATAATTTTTGAATAAATGTGTAAGTTTTGAATCACGATAAGGTATCATTTTGTTGGTACCTTGAATTTGATTTTCTCTAAGGATTTCTAAGCACGTGCGAAGTGTCATTAATGAATTGTTTATATTGCCTGCATAAATAACATTATATATAATTATTATACAGAAATTTATTTATTATTAAAAATAATTATAATTACCTGCTTCTCGTAGTCTTTGGCCTGTATTTTTAGAACGATTAGTACGCTCTGTTCCAGCTAAATCTACTAGTGACAACTGACTGACACAAATAACTCGTTTATCTTGCACAACTTGCTCTCCTTGAGAATCTAATGGTGCCTATGCAAAAAATGAAATATCTCATATAAATCAAATTGCATATTAATGTTAGAAAAGTTTACATTATTAATATGATACATTTAATTAATAAGGATAAACTATATATTTAATTTAAGAAAATGTAAAACCTGCACAAGCCTTATAGTGAAAACACTGTGAGATCTACTTGATTCAGCATTTAATGCAGTATGTGCTACTCGTCTTCTTCTTTGTCCACGTTGAAATATCTTACATGCTTCTTCTGAATTTTTTACTTCTATTTCAGTAACACCATGGACATACATATTTCTACAACCATCTTCACGTATAATTTTACTCTGTAATGGTCTAAATTTTATTTCATATATTATTACTATTTTAAGATATAGAAAAAAATATTAATAAAAGTTTTAAACTCACTTTGACCTTACTTCTTCATCTTCAAGTAAATCATATATGCTATTATTATAAATCTCAATGTATGTTACAAATACAGCATATCCATTATCCTCATCAACTTGCAGCATATCTACATCATCTGTTGAGCATATAAAACTTGGTCTATTATCATTATTATTATCCATTGGTTGGATACCACTGTAAATAATTTAATTCTTTATTAATAAAATATAATATATAATAATCTCAATTGATCATTTATTATTGCATGAATAGTTTACTGCCTGTATTTTCCATTTTGAGTGTTGGCAAAGTTTAAGTTAAATTCATTTTGTTTCTCAAATTGTATTTCTGTTTCATTCAGTACGTCAAATCCATTTAATCTGTCTGGTTGGAATACAGATCTTTTGGTTTGATAATTGGCAATACTATTAAAGAGGACATCCAAGCAACATGGCATAATTCCAGGATTATGGATATCTCCAGTCATCGTATAAGTTTTTCCACTTCCTGTTACACCATATGTAAATAAAAGACTATTTTCTCCATTAATAAGATTTGTCACAAGTGGTAATGCAACTATGTTAAATACTTCCTTTTGAGTTGCATCATGCCCAAATACTTTACTGAACGATGTTTGTATTACTTTACTGACATTGCGAAAATTTATTGCTGTTTCTGGAGGTGTAACAATTATGGTCGTACTAGAAGCAATTTTCATACATGAGATATCTGTAGAATTTAACATTGGCCTTATACGACAGTAAACTTGAACTGGTTCTACACTATCAATTTTTGTTTTGGTTACTTGCTTCCGACTTGTAACAGGTGGTTTCTGACGCCTATAGATTTAAGACAATTTATGTACATAATCTAGATCAATAATAATGATATTTAATATATTGAAACTTATAAAATCATCCTACATTTATTTTTATATTAACCATTTCATGTATTATATATGTACGTGTTTGTTATTAATTATTTACACATGTATAGTATTACTGTATAATTACTGATTGTAGAGAAATTATTATGGTATAATATTATATAATTATATCAATTTAAAAAACTATTAGAGTTTGCACAGTGTATTTTGTAATCTCATTATATAGTTTTTATAATAACAGCATTGTTTACAATGAATTATCGAATACACGTGCCAGATGTAGATAAGATAAAAATATATCATTTAAACGAAACTTACACTGACTTTATACTGGACATGATAAAATAATTCGAATGTTACGAAGGAATGTTAAGAAAGAATGTAATAATATTATAATTATTTCAATGCATTATAATAATTCTTCTCTCTTCGTGTTTATATATGGGATGTTCGTTACAAATATGTAATTTAAAATTTGAAACTCAACACAAACTTAAGTTTAAAAACATACTAGAGAGGAAACAGCATTGAAGTTGGTACAATTGAAATAAATAGGCTATGTACAGTGGAATATAGATAAAGTAGTAAGTAGTAAGAGACTACGTTGGTATCGAAGTTGCAAATACTGTTTTATCGACCAACGATAAAATTGCTAACTGTTTTTTAACGTTATATAGAAGTATGTGTATATATATACTTCTCTAAATTTTCTTGAATTAGAATGACTTTTTCTTAAAATAAAATCTTAGATAGAAATTAGGATTCACAGATAATTCTTGATAACGTCTTGCAAATATATATATTAGTTGTCAATAATAGTAGCTACAATAAAGGATGAACATTTGAACTTTAAAATTCATTTTTTTTTTCTTTTACATGAAGTCTAAGTTAAACAAATGTAATACAATAATAATAATAAAAATACTTTATTTTATTTATGATAAGTAACATAATATTAAACATAAGAGAAAACTTATAGATTTATGCTTGGTTAACGTCTTAATTCTTGGATATCTTGTCTTTTGTGAGTTCCATCACAAAAGGGTCTATTCAATGTCTGTTTACAATTACATAGCCAGTAATCTTTGGTCTCTGTGACAGTAAATCGAATAGGCCGTAATTTAATTTTTAAAAATATGTTTTTATGAGTACCATCACAAAAAGGTTGTCCTTTACTTTGTCCACATGTACACCAATGATAGATTTTTCCAGCTTCACAACGTATCTTGAAAGGTTTCTTATCATATATTACTCCAGTTTCACTTTGTTGATTAGCACTGTATATTTCTTTTAGTGGATTTACAGGTATCGAAGAATGTGATTTTGTGCTATACAATGTTGTCTTTAAAGTAAAAAATACATTATTGATTATTTGACATAGTAATGCACTTATTAAAAAATATACATTTTTATATTATGTAAATGACTATAATAGAAAAAAAGTATGATATCAGAAAATTTTATTTGATTAGGTTAAGTTTTGATCACTTTTAATTTTTTGTCATCTAATGAGAATTCGTTTGAAAGGTTCTTATTGGTTTATCATATATGACTATTATTTTTAACTTACCTTTTGATATTTTGAAACATTTGTGCGAATAAATCGCATAAATTTGCTAGCTACAACTGTATTCATTGCGTACACACTACTCGGAAGCATGAATCTTTGATGATTTAGATCAATGAAAGTTTAATCACATGATATTGAATTTTGATGTATCTTCAGTGAAAATTCAATGATTTGAATCAATTATCGACAGAACATCAACGACAACTTACTGATGGTTAATTTTTATCCATAATTTGTATCATTTAACAAAGGATAGTCTTTACCGATAAAATGGATATCTTCATGTATCTACAAATGGTTTCGTTTAATAAAAATCGAATAAGATAATATAACATGAAATTTAATTTCGAAATATTTTTCATATTAAATATAATGGCAACAACTTAAAACGCATAGTAAATTAATATAATATATTATAAGGTTTGATATTTTTCAAGTATCATTATATTATTTTATTCTTGCAATAAAAATAATAATAAAAGATGAATATTTCAAACTGTATAAATTTATTTATTGATTTTTCATCGTTTCTTATAAATACTTATTTAATTAATAATATAAGTATGCGTAGATTTATCGATTAAACGATCCTTGTTCATTATAAGTTTTGTAATTAATGCAATTCATATTGTTTCGGTTTTACGTTACGTCCGATTACAATCTACTTTTACTTTACATTCAATCTGAAAGTTATAATCACAGAATCGCTTCAACAAGCTGGAAAGCATAGAATTATCATTTTTTTTTCCTCCTTTGGAATTCTAATTGATAACATCAATTTAATGTGATATTCTTAGCAACAGAACAGACAAATATATGTTTAAAACGTCAATTAAATGAATGTTCAAGGAATTATTCAGTTAGGACAATCATTGATTGTCATTCTCAAAACTTCAAACATTTTACTCTTTCTGTTGCCTTGACCTTTTTTTAATTCTTTTTTTAGATTGAAACAAAGAGTCGTTGATAAGATCGACATGTTCAGTTATCGTATCTCTACGATTTAGATTAGATTAATCTATTGACGTTTCTCGATCGTTACCGATCGCCGCTTAACGAGTTTTTAGAAGTGGGGAGATGTTAGTACATACGAACATATGTACATATAAAAGAAAAGAAAAAAAAAGAAAAAAGAAAAAAAAAATATATTTCGCAGTAAGAAGCATCACAACGATATATCATCGTATTATATAGCATATGCTAGATACCGTAATTTCATGTTTCATGTTCTTGCATAATTTGGCACTTCCTCTTATTTCATTCATCTTTAGCGTTGGGAAAGGAATTAATCGAAAAGGTATAAAATAGAAGGATTAAAAGTCCATATAAAATCGATAAAAATTATTTTAAGTTGAGAAAAAAAAAGAGGGGTAAAGAAGAGAGAGAGAGAGAGAGAGAGAGAGAGAGAGAGAGAGAGAGAGAGAGGGAGAGAGAGAGAGGGTTGATTCTAGGCCGAATTTACGAAAAGCTTTGCTAATAGCTTTACACGAGCATGGTAGCGAGTTGTCTAATCGTTTCGCAATGTCGCCGTACTTCGGTTGAATATTTAAAAAAAAAGTGAAGGGAGTGTTATTTCCCATAGGAGGTGAAAAATTCTACATGCATATGAGAATATTAAATGCCGATTTTCATCTTAATTTTCTTACGTACTTTTGGAAAACGTAACTTTTGCGTTTTTTTTACGTACTTCGAAGAATCAAACAACGATCCCGTAAATTAATTTTCTCTATCTTATATCACTTTTTTAATTAAGATATAAGAAGAGGAAAAAATAAAAGAGAAAAAACAAAAACAAAAGATGAATTTCAGACTAAAATATAAACTTTTGAAAGACAAAACGGAATGTAGAATTTCAACGATATTTCGTCTAACGTTTATAATCTTCATAAACACATGATGTAATTTAATTAGCATTCCGTGTGAAATGGAAATAACGCAGTTTAGATTAGCTGTCGTCGAGGGGCTTGGTTACTTTTCAACGTTTTCCTTTTGACTCACTAATTATAATTATCTCATCGTTAAAGGGAGCTTGCTCAAACGTTTCCTTTGAATATTTTTATGTATATTTTCTTGATTTTAACTTTTTGAAAGGATTGCTCGTTTGAAAAACTGACCTTTGTTTAATTTGTTTCTTTTATATAAATAATATCCAACTATCTATGTATATATATGTGCGTGTATTCTCGCTATACATATATTCGTACGTACGTAGTACTACGTAAGTACGTATGTTCGTAGATTTTATATAATACGTAAATACAAAGTATGGTCGAATGGAAATTCGAATAAAAATACGGACAATACGTGATCCGATTAATTCGAAAATCTTCTGTTCGTCCCGTGATATGTAGTATGTACTAGATTTAAATTAACGATTTTATGTCCCGATACGTATGGGAAAGGAAACAAAAGCTCTCTCTCACTCTCTCTCTCTATCCCTTTCTTTCTTTCTTTCTCTTTTACTCGAAGCTCGTATAGCATGCGTAACGATAACCCATTTTGTGGATTTTTCTTTCTCGTTGATCGACATTTTTGGACTAGAAAGTTTTGCTGAAAAGATAACGTCGGGAGGGTTGTTGAAGTCATGTGTTTCCCCTGTTTTTCTTTCAATTCGTTTTCCTCGGCTTTTGATACGTTTTGTGATACCTACATGGTAACGTTCAAAGAAAATTACGATCGGATCGTTAACGCAATATCATGTATTATTGAAATTTATGGTCCCTTTCGGCACGATAGTAATTTTGACGTTGAGCGTCAAGTACAATAGGTAATAATGAAGTCGAGATAACGATTACCGATTGTTCGTTGTATTAAACGAAAACGAGGAATTTTTAAGTGGTCGATATTTTATATATGTTCTGATCGTTTAAACGTGCGACCGAATTGTTCCGTATTTAAATGTATTAAATTAAATATTTTAATTTTTCATCAATATTAATTTTATTATCGATAGTCCGTCCAATTATTTATTTCTTTTTTCTTTCTCGTGATATTGAAAAAAAAAAATATATATATATATATGCACAAACACGTCTTTTTTATAAAAAAGAAAGGAAAAGGAAAAATGTTTTATAAATATAAATATATTGTAAATTAAACTAAAAAAACATAAAAAGACGATCCAACCGAAAGGAAATGTCCGCTCGTATTTCGAACGTAATTGAAGAACTTTGATCTCGGTGATCTTATTTACGGTGTGCTCACGGAAAGCAAGAAGTATCAAGAAGAATCTAAGATAGGATCTGGCTAGTGTCCGAACAAATCGAACTAGTCTTAGTCTAATTATTTTAGACGTTCAGAAATTAACCAAAATGTCTCTGTGTAGAAACTTTTTCATTCGTCAAGACGGATTTTCGTGAATATTCTGGGATATTCGCGTAGGTTTATCGTAAATATCATTTTTTCTGATAAAAAAAAAAAAGAAAAAACAAATTAGATTAAGACAATTTTGCAATGAAGAATTCAATTTATTATTTTTTATTTAAAAGCACGATTCTTGTGAATATCAGCAAAAAGATCTATTTATATTTTCTCTTTTTACCCTTTTACCCTTTCTTACACCAAAACATTATTTATATACCTAAGTACAAGGTATTCATAGATATTTTTTCTTCCTCTGATCTATCAGACGAATCTCTAAGCCTTTCTCGTTATCTTTCATTAATCATAAGTTTCGTTATGGTACATAACGTACCCTTGATGAGACTAAATCACCCTATGGAAAGTGAATTTCTTAGCTTGCCGATGCTTGTCTTGAATGCTTTAAAAGATTTAACGCACGTATTCTACGTATCTCGATTATCTACGTTGAAAGCTTTCGCGTTACAGTTATTCTTTTCTTACGATCTTATGCATAAGTATATATTATTTCAATAATGGATAATAGCATGAAGAGAAAAGGAGAGAAAGAAAAAATGGGAACGCTATCGAATGAGAATTAAAAAAAAAGGAAAAGGAAAAAGAAAAAGAATATAAGAAAAGAAATTTATTAGCTCTTTCGAAATAATGATGAATATAAATTAAAAAAAGAATAATAATAATAATAATAATAATAATAATAATAATAATAAAAAATAAATAAATAAAAACAAAATGTAGAGTATTTAAGAACCTCAAAGGATTAACTTTTCATTTTCTTTATTTTTTATTTTCTTTTTATTCACGTAAGAACCTTTTACGATTCATAGTTGTTTGTTGCTTATATTCTACTTGCTTT